CACACACACACACACACACACACACACACACACACACACACACACACCACATAACACACAACACACACACACAAGGGATCAAAAACAAAATACATATTCAAGACACAGTTGTTGAATTCTGAGCCCCAAAGCACAAAGATGGGTTAGTATCCATTTTCTTTATCCCAGCTACACTACTCCTTCTCATTTTGGCCAGAAGTTCTCAAACTTGAGCAATCATCAGTATCACCTGGAGATGGCCCCAGTGGTAGCCGCTAGACTGCCCTCAGGTTCCCTATTCTGCAGACCTGAGAGCTTGTCTATCTAATAAATTTCCAGATGATGTTGATTCTGGTAGTCTATGACCCCCCTCCCAAAACTTCTGTGCTGGGTTATTACTTTTCTTTGACTGTTGTTATTATTGTTGTTTTATTTTTTAGCAGATGAGAAACCAAGGCACAGAAAAGTTTATAGATATTTTTTTTTCCTTAAGTAAACGGCAGGCCAGGTTTACTAATGCATTTTGCTGAGCCAACCAATAGTGTTTTGTTTTTCCCATTTCTGGATGCATTTGGACTTGTGGGGACAGTAGGTTTTGTAAATAAAAATGGCTGTTGGTTTTTCCTTTCCTTGTTGCAGAACACAAAGTCATTCACTAGAGTGGTTGACAGTTCTTTCTTTCCCAATGAACCACTGGAACTACTGTCTCAAAAGGCGTTTAACGCAGTTCCTTCCATCATTGGAGTCAATAACCAGGAGTGTGGCTACATATTGCCCATGGTAAGAATTCTGGTTGTCCTGTCTGCCTCTCCCTCAACAGCAGGGCAACTGTTTGCTTCCACAGATGATTCCCCATGCAATAAGGGTTGGGAGCCTGTTGCTATTCATGCAATAGTAATCTTCCCACGGACTGGAGGAGGGGTCATAGTGTGTTTGGCTCATGATTTTGACCAACAGAAAGTAAAAGCAACATGGTGCTAGCATTTGGAGGTGACTCCACAGGCTATGTCACAGCATGATGGAGAAGCAGAAAAGCCTGCCTGTAGAAGGGGTCCAGCAGAAAGAGGCAGGGCCACTTTATAACTCATCCCTTTGAAAACTAACCAGGTTCTAGGAGAGCTACATTAATCTCTTCAAAGGATGGTACTCCTATGACCCAATTGCTTTTGCCTAGGTCTTACCTCTTAGAGACATTTATAATGGGAAGCAAACTTCCAGCACATGAACATTTGATTGGACATACTCAAACACATCTAACCTATAGGCAAGAAGAAATGGGGTCTGAGAACAGTACGTCCATCTTGCTCTTTATACAGATTTATTACAAAGGAAGCAACTGTGTACAGAGGAAAGAGTTGGATATATTGGTTTTTACTAAAGCAAACAAACAAAAACAAAAACAAAACAAAAAGCCCACAAGTTAGTTTTCAAGAGAATGCTGGGAGAACCTGGAGGCCAGGTCCACTGGTTAAATGGACTCCTTAGATGCTTGTCCCTAGACCCGTTGCTAATTAGCAAAAAGACTGTAGTGTGTAACTCTTATGATTTAGCCTCTGCTTTTCAAGTTGGACACACATTTAATGGCCTGGTATCTTGCAAACACTCAGTAAATGCTAACTCTTGGAATAATGCTAGAGATGGAGGAGGGGGATTCTGCACCATTCTGAGGATCCCACGGGTATTAGTTTCAGTGAAATCTGTTCTTGTTTGCTGGAGACCTAAGGCAAATCCTGTTCTTTTACCTGAGAAGGATGTTAGTACTCAAAAGGTGTCTGTGGGAAACTGTCAGGGAGGAAGATGACAAGTTTTTCAAGTAAATTTATTTGCTAGTGAATTGGAGGTCTACCTGCTCATGCTTTTAAGCCAAAGCACTGCCAGGAAATGATCAGAGGAATGACGTGGCACCTCTGCCATGTGAAAATGCGCCACTGTGAGCTCTTCCCAAACAGCAATTCTCTGCTCCAGTGTCTCTGCTCTTTTGTGGGGAGTTTGCTGTTTTCATCTCAGGAGTGAGGAATCTGAGACATAGAGAGTTATCTGCAGATTAACAACAGTCCCTAGCCCCCTGAAATGTCCATAACCCCACTCTTATTGCTCTCTACCGCTGGCTCTTTAGCGGTCCTGATCGAAAAGGTTTTGGAAGGAGAGTAACAGACCACTGTCTTCTCTGTGAACCTGAGGTTAAACTAAAGTGTGTATCAGTTCAGATCACCATGACAAAGAGAGTCTTGATGTCTTCAAACAAGGAAGCGCATCTCTCAGTTCTGGAGTGTCCGCCTTCCCTGAGACCAAGTTGTCACAAGTTTGCTTTCTCACTGGGTTCTGTATAGTGTGCTCTTGTACTTGGATGCCTAGTATCAGAGAGGCTAAATTTCTCTTATGAGCTGAGCATGGTGGTGCATGTCTTTAATCCCTGCATTCAGGGAGGCAGAGGCAGGTGGATGGCTGTGAGTTTGAGTCCATGCTGGTCCAGGACAGCCAAGGGTACACAGAGAAACTCTAGCTCAAAAAGCAAACAAACAAACAAACAAACAACCAAAATTCTCTTATCAGGATGCCTGTAATGGCCTTGTGGAAACAGCATCACTGCTTTATAGACTAAATACTGATGTATGGGGCTGTGGTGGTGGATTGGGGGATGGGCTGCTCAGTGCTTTAACATACTAGTTCAATCCAGCTGATGAGCTTGACAAGGCTACAGGTATGCCAGAGAATGGCTGCCTTTGATCAGATGAGAGAAGGGGAAATTCATTGACCAACTGATGCCTGGGACTGAGAGGGCTCCTGTTTTTTCACTCTCTGCTGGAAGAAATTAGGTGTCCAGACCCTGCTTTGCTCTCTGAGGCAGATGCCTCACAGTAAAATATCCTACTTGTCTCCACAGAGGGACACTCCTGAGATTCTCCTTGGCTCCAATCAGTCTGTTGCTCTCAACTTGATACACATTTTCCTGGTAAGTGACTGTGTGACATGGCTCTCCTGAACGTCATTGACTTGGCAAATATCCCTGTTCCACACAGATGGATAGAGTTAAGAGTACAGACATTCCACACTGACGACTCAATCAACTAATTCATTCAGTAGACTTATTATTGGTTCACAATCCCTTATTCCCATAATTCTTAAGTCCTAAGAGCTCTAAAAACTCAAAGACTTTTTGTAACCCTCATATTATCCAGATGTGATTGGTGGTCACTAGGTCTTTTCACTTCTATACATTCCTTTTTCCTTATTTTTGCCATTATTCATCTGTTTCTGGGACATATTAATGTGGATTTTGGGGTACTTCCTCCTCGTCCCCAAGAATGCACTGAATTATCTAACTATAATTTGAAAATTTATGAATTATAAAATATACAGGAGGCCAAATTCTATATTTACTATGTAGCCATCAGACATTGTGTTAAATTCCAGTGCTAAAATCTCAGATTTTACAAACAAGAAAGCAGTATTCAGTCTTACTCTAGACACTAAGAATGCAAAGACAGGTTTATTTCTTTCCTTTCTGCTCCTTTCTTTTATTCTCTTTCTTCCCATAAACACTTATTTAGCATAATCTCAATGCCAAAGATCATTCCTTTTATTGACTCATGGAACATATAATTACTGAGACCAAGTACTCTAACGCTTCCCCAGGCAATGAGATGTGATGTGGGGTGGACAGACATGATTAGAACTGTCACGTTGACACAGAGCAGACGAGAGACTATGGCCTGTGGCGTCCACAGGAGGATCTAGGTAGCTCCTGGTAAAGGAGAAGGAGTTTTAGGGATTTTGGAGTGGGAGTGAGTGGATTATATACGTGAAGAACTATAGGAAGTGGCTGGGAACTGGGGACTGTGCAGAGGTCATCTGAAGGGATGACTGCAACAAGGGAAGATTAATGAAACTGTTATAACCCAGAGATGGAGGACAGACTCACTGAAGCACTGAGAAACAGAGAAAAGGGAGTGACTGGGCTTCCATTTAAAGGATTTTTCTAGCTGCAGAGGGGTCTGCCTGGGTGGGCCAGCAGACCCATTAGGCCCAAGCCCTGGCCTTGGAAGAGAGATATTTAGTGAGTCTTGGCTTTCCAATGGAGAGAACTGAGTCTGAAGATTGAGGCCTATTCAGGCTATAAATTCAGTAGTGTGGTAGATGCTCCTTAGAGGAGATTCCCACTGGTCTGGGTCATAAGGAAAAGGGACACTGGAAGAAGGGCATTTCAAACATCTTGAGCATTACAAATATCTTTCATCTTGAGCCAAATCTCAGGGGTGGAGGCAAATAGGTTTTCTGGGAAGGCACAAAAGAGAAGGATGATGTGCATCGTCTCTGAGAAAGACCCTGTAGCATGCAGGGGCTGCTTTGTAAATGGTGAGTAGCTCTCTGGCCTTGTTCCTGATGCCCAAGAGTCTGCCTTCTGGCTGTCTTCTGGTGGTTTGCCAGTGATGGAAAGCTTCTCTACCACTCTGGACACTTCCAGGCCTGTAAGGTCTGTTCATCTCATGTTCCGAGTGGACAGGGTCTTGTGCCACAGCCTGGACTGCTGCAGTCCTCTCCTGCTTTGGGCCTGATTAAAGCATCATCATCCTTCAAAGGTCCCGAATAGTGAGTCTCAGCAGCACTTTCAGGTGTGGCTTACGTAGTTTTGCCTCCAAATCCCACAGAAGAATTTCCCTGTATTCCCTAGGCCATCAGACCCTTTGAAACAGTCACCATGACAGGCCCTGAGATCCTCAAGAAGTTGACCTTCCACAGTGCTCAGGGCAAGGTCAAGGTTAGAAGACTGGGTCAAAGAAGGCAGCAGAGGTCTGATGGAGACACTCAGCAGTGGGGTTCAGGAACCAAGGGGTCCAAGGCCTGCTGTCTGCCAGGCAATATGTCCTCCCTGTCATCTCATGAGATCCTCAGAATGACTCATTTCAAAAATTATAGATGTGGAAACTGAGGCTGCAAGACATCAAATGGCTTAGAAGTAGCACTTGTCCCGGGAGCAGGGACAGTTTTGTGGGTGTGTGGCTAGTGTGTCATGTAACACTTCCTAGTACGAAGGGCTCCCCCTTAGCTTGATGCTCTGGTGTCCCCACCTGGGAATTCTTGATAATGCTGGAACACAGGACTCCAGATCTGCACTTCGTACTGAATGCCACCAGTGCGTGCGCTGCATGTGGCCCACAGCATGGGGTTTGAATACAGACCTATGAAAGACTCTGGCTCCATCGGTTTGGACCGACCATTTACTCTCTCTGTGTCTTGCTTTTCAAATAAGTGGACGTATTTTTAATGAATCCTATGATTGCTGTGTGGGTGAAATGAGGCAATATATGGAGAATATTTTCAACTTTGCCTGCACAGACCAATGCTTAATTAACAGGTTAGCCATTGTTTTTGACTTGGATTTCCTATGACCATGCATTTTTCTTTTCCTTTTCTTCCTTTCTTCTTCCCTTCCTCTCTTTCTCTTCTCTCCTCCTCTCCATCCTTCCCTCTCTCTCTTTCTTCCTCCCTCCATCCTTTCTTTCTTTCTTTCTTTTCACAGCATATCCCCACACAATATTTGCACGTGGTGTCTAAAGAGTACTTCCATGGGAAGCATTCCCTGACTGACATCCGAGATACTTTACTGGACTTGTTTGGAGATGTGTTTTTTATGGTCCCTGCAGTGGTCACAGCTCGATATCACAGAGGTGAGACTCTGATAAATACCTTTCAAGAATGCAGACAGTGAGATGGGGGTCCACAATGGGGGTCCATGTTGTTCACTGAGGAGCCACCTGGGTTCCTTTACAGCAAGGGGTGTGTCAGTGATGGAAGAACACTATGTCTATCCTTGCATTTTGGGAACATGGACTACTTGTTATTTTAGTCTTTTACTCTCTTCACTTCTCTCTCTGGAGTTGGCTGTTTCTCAAAGCATGTTAGTTATAGGAGTAAGGAGGAAAATGAGATGAAAGAAAAAAGTTCTTGGAGAGTTGATGTAAGCTAATTTCACTTCATCTGTTCCTCCCCTCTCCTTTCCCCTTTCCTCCCTCTCTTTCTCCCTCTTCTCCTTTTCTCATTTCTTCTTTTCCTAAGTTTCTCTTGTAACAAGTATTTGGCAATGACCTTCTTTATCATTGACTGTTTTATAACTTAGCCATTTGGCCATGAGTAGAATAAACACACTGCTAACTGTTCTAGTGAGAAACAATGGAAAAAAAGAAATAAACTAATATAGACTGTATTTGACGGTGATGAGTACAGTGGCATACGAGAAGGACAGAGGCTATGGTCCAGGTTGCCATGGAGATCCCTGCTGCATTAGCTCTCATAATGACAAACAAGATGAGAGGACTGTTGAGTTGACAACACAGAAGTCACTGGTGACCTTGACAACAACTTTAATTGAATGATAAGAGAGTGGAGGAATAATTGAGCTAAACAGAGAATTCTCAATAGAGGAATATCGAATGACAGGGAAATACTTAAAGAAATGCTCAACATCCTTAGTTATCAGGGACATGCAAATCAAAACAACCCTGAGATTTAACCTTACACTCATCAGAATGGCTAAGATCAAAAACTCAAGTGACAATACATGCTGGAGAGGAAAGGGGATCCCTCCTCCATTGCTGGTGGGAACGTAAACTTGTACAGCCACTTTGGAAATCAATCTGGTGCTTTCTCAGACAATTAGGAATAGCCCTACATCAATTAGGAATAGCGCTACATCAAGACCCAGCCATACAACTCCTAGGCATATATCCAAAAAATGCTCAAGTATATAACAAGGACATTTGCTCAACCATGTTCACAGTAGCTTTATTCATAATAGCCAGAAGATGGAAACAACCCAGATGTCCCTCAACTGAGGAATGGATATAGAAATTGTGGTACATTTAGACAATGGAATACTACTCAGCAATTAAAGACAAGGAAATCATGAAATTTGCAGGCAAATGATGGGAACTAAAAAACGATAATCCTGAGTGAGGTAGTCCAGAAGCAGAAAGACACACATGATATATATATATATATATATATATATATATATATATATATATATATATATTCATTTATAAGTGGATATTATTCATAAAATACAGGATAAACAAACTAAAATTTGTACACCTAAAGAAGCTAAGCAAGAAAGAGGATCCTGGGTAAGATGACCAATCCTCATTCAGAAAGACAAATGGGACATACATCAGAAGAGGGGGAAAACAGGGAACAGGTCAGTTACCTACCACAGAGGGCCTCTGAAAGACTCCAACAAGCAGGGTATTAAAGCAGAGGCTGAGACTTATGGCCAAACATGCAGGGAATCTCATGAAGGAAGGGGGAGATAACAAAACCTGGAGGGCACAGGAGCTGCACAAGGAGAGCAACAGAACCAACTATCTGGGCACAGGGGTCTTTTCTGAGACTGATACTCCAACTAAAGACCATGCATGGAGATAAACTAGAATCCCTGCACAGATGTAGCCATGGCAGCTCAGTCTCCAAGTGGGTTTCTTAGTAATGGGAGCAGGCACTATCTCTGACATGAACTCAGTGGCCTGCTCTTTGATCACCTCCCCCTGAGCAGGAAGCAGCCTGACCAGGCCATAGAGGAAGACTATGAAAGACAGTTCTGATGAGACCTGATCAGCTAGGGTCAGAGGGAAGGGGAGGAGGACCTCCCCTCTCAATGCACTTGGGGAGGGGAATGGGAGGAGATGAGGGGAGGAGGGTGGAGGAGTTGGGAGGGGATGAGGGAGGGGCCTATAGCTGGGATACAAAGTGAATAAAATGTAATTAATAATAAATAAATAAAAATTTAAAAGATACAGAATTTCTTTTTAAAAATGAGAAGAAACTGAATAGAATGGAAAGATATAATAACTGAAATGAACAAGTTACTCAAGGTATCCATCACAGATCTGAGCACATGAAAGAAAGAACAAGGAATTTAGTTATGCCATTTGGGACACTCAGTCTGAAACAGAAAAGAATAAAGGGAAATGAACAGAGCATAGGAATCTTGTAGGACAATTTGATCAACCAAATGTATGTATAATAGGATCTGAAGACAGAGAGAGAAAAGAGGCAGAAAGAATAAGTAATGAACAAAATCTTCCAAAGTCTGGTATTAGACTTTCAATCAGAGTTTCAACAACCCTCATATAGGAAAAAATGTAGAGACCACAAAGAGATACATTATATCTAAAGACAAATATAAATAAAAGAGCTTCATGGACACATGAAGAGAACTGGCACTTGTCATCTAGAAATGAGATTATTATAGATCTATCAAAAGAAATGATGGTGGTGAGAAAGCATGGGGAAGACAGATTCAAAGTTCTGGAAGATAAAATAGCCAAGGCTTCTGACCAAGAATTAGCTATCATGTAAGACTATCCTTCATAAAAGGGGAAATTGTGACATTTCCAGGTACATGGAAATGTCATGGCTAACAAATTTACCCAAGAAGGAAAGGGAGTCCTTTAAAGATTTTAAGCTGAGAAAAACGGATGCAGAAAGCATTCCAAATCCACATGAATAGATAAATAACACAGTAAAAATAACTGTTTAAGTAAATATGTAAATAATTATTAACTCATTTTTATTTATAACATATTCTCTTTCCTAAATGATTTTAAAGACAATTGTATAAAACAATTATAAATCTGTTAGTAAGTTACAATATATAGAGATATAAATTTAGTCTTAACAACATGTTTTATGCTATTACAAGTAAATTGATATTAATTTGAACTCGATTATTATAACTTATGATGTGAATTACAATCTCAAACATTAATTTAGAAAATAATTAAAGCTATGTGATTAAAGGAGTAATGCAAAAGAAGGCAGTAATGGAGCTACTGAAAAACATAACCACTGCAATGGACATAGAAAACAAGTAGCAAAATGTCAAAAGTTTGTACTTCTTTCTTGTTAATTATGTTAAATGTAAATGGACTATGTTACAGAGATATTTAAGAAACTATGACATGTGCTCTTTCGAAACAAACCAAAAGAACCTGAGAACCAAGGTGTGCATTAGCTGACAGTGAAAGAATGGAAAAGATACTCAAGGCAAACAGCTGCCATAAGAGAGATAGGTTGCTGCCTAAGTCTGACAACATAAATCTGGAAACAGAGAGCAGGACGAGACATACGGAAGGACATTATAAAAGGGCAACTACATCAAGAAGTCATCATAAATAAAAACCTAGATGCACCTTATGACTGAGACACAAAATATGTGAAGTAAAGGTGGCAGAAAAAGCTTAAAGGGATATTTTATTATAATGGTAGAAGGCTTTAACTTCCCACTTTCAATGACAGTGCATTTATGCAAAACCTGAAGAGGGAAATAGAAGATGAGAATAATGCTATAAATCAGCCAGACCTAACAATGCACAAAGAACATTACACCCAGCAGCTATCATGGTCCTTGATTTTTCTCTTGTATATGTAATGTCCTCCAGGATAACCACACATTTGCCAACAGAACACATCTCAATAGGTCTAAATGAGTTCAGTATGATCACAGTGGGGTGAAATAAGAAATCAACAAGAAGAAATATGAAAACTCAAACATGTCAAAATTAAACAACACAATTTTCACACCTAAAATGTTACGTCAAAATACTTAATGACAAAACATTTAGTACTTAAACCATTTTATAGATTTCTTTCTTTTTGTGTGTTTTTTTGTTTTGTCATTTATTTATTTATTTGAGACAGGGTTTCTGTGTAGCCCTGGCTGTCCTTGACTCACTTTGTAGAGCAGGCTGGCCTCGAACTCACAGAGATCCACCTGCCTCTGCCACCCTGAGTGCTGGGATTACAGATGTGCACCACCGTGCCCAGCTTATATTTCTTATAAGTGAAGTAACATATTTGATATTTTTGTCTAGCTTATCAACATAATGCCTCAGGGTTCATCTGTTTACTATACACGGCAGATTTTGTTTTTCTCAGGCTGAGGAATACTCCTTGTCCGTATATACCATATTTGTTTATGCATTCATCAGTGGTCACTTGAGCAGACCTACCTTCTGGTTATGGTGACAATGCTGCTTGAACATTAGTGTAGAGATGTCCGTTCTTTTAGATGCATATTACTGGACCACACAGTCATTCTAAGTTTTTAAAGAACTGCATGGTGATTTCACAATGGCTGTGACGATTTCCATTCCCACCATTAATGCAAAGACCAGCAGCCCTCAGCTGCACCCACACCTGTGGTTTCTGAAGGAACAAACTATCATTTACACGTGTAGACGGGTGAAGTGTTACCCAATCATGATGTTGATTTGTGTTTCTGTAACGATTAGACAAGTTAGGGATGTTTCTGTGTGCTTCTCAGACATTTTGAAATTAACTTTTAAAATCAACACAAAATAGTGGATCTCATGATGAGCTTTCCACACATGTATGTCATCGATTTTTCCTTCCACGTATTCATCTCTCATTCCTACCCCATTCTGTTGCTTGTCCCCTTCCTTCCTTTAAACAACTCTTCTTCTGCCCCCTCTGTCTCCTCTTCCCCTCTCTCTCTTGATTGCTTTCCATGTGTATATGTGTTTATATATATATATATATATATATCACGTATATATAATTACATGTACATATACATACACATACACATATATGTCTGAGAAAATGTCAAATAGTTTACAGACATTTCCATGTCTCTTAGCAAATGTCTGTGCAAGACCTTCACTTTCTTTCTTGGAACTGAGAATTTTTGTTTTGTTTTGTTTTAGGAATTCTTCATATATTACACAGACTAAATCTATTTAAGATATGACTCCCAAGTATTTGCGATGATTTGAAACTGTTCTGTAGGTTGATTTCTTGTCTGTTGGTAATGTTCAAAATAACTGGACACTGATTTTAGGTTTCCATGCATATTGCCTCACTCATGTTTTCTTTGTTAATTGTGTATTTTGTGTGTGTTATGTCTTAGAAACCATTGCCAAACCCAAGACAGGAAAGTTTTTTGAAAAGATGGATTTTTTATTTGTGTGTGTGTGTGTGTGTGTGTGTGTTTGTGTGTCGGGTTGATGGACATGTCTGTGTGTTGGATACATGATTAGGCAGAGGTCTGCAAAAGCATAGGTCTCCTCAAATTCTACATTTGAAAAAGGTGCTTTTCTAACCAAGGGTCATACATGAACTTGACTTAGGCCCCTACACAAAGGTAGTCATGGGCAACTCTGTCTTTATGTGGGTTCCCTAGTAAGTAGAGCAGGGGAGGGGTTCTGATATGGACTCTATTGCTTGCTCTTCCATCACTTCCCCCTGGCAGGGCTGCTTCACCAGGGGAACAGGATGCACTCAGTCTTGATGCGATTTGATGTGCTGGGTTGGATTGGGGAGGGATTCCCCTTTCCTGAGAAGTAGGGGAGGGGGATAGGTAGAAGAGGGAGGGAAGGTGGAACCAGGAGGAGAGGGGGGCTATGATCGGGATGTAAAGTGAATATATAAATAAATTAATTTTAAAAATGAGGAAAGAAAAAGTTGCTTTTTATTATCTAAGAAAGAAAGATAATAGGAAGAAAGAAAGTGAAAGAAGTCTAAGGCAGATGCGTTCCAGTTGGGAGACATAAGCTAATAACTGGAGGACAAACTGAGACCACGCGTGTGTGTGTTTGTGTGCGTGTGAGTGTGTGCATCTTTGTCACTAGGGATAAGAAGGCTGCTATAGATGGAAATTCCAGCCTCAAATAAAGAAGGAAGGAAGGAAGCAAGGAAGGAAGGAAGGAGAGAGAGAGAGAGAGAGAGAGAGAGAGAGAGAGAGAGAGAGAAAGTCATGCTGGTTTACGCGGCATCTTTGAGCTATCTCTCACCTTTGGGTTTGTAACTTTGGGGATACAAGGCCATACCTGTATGCTTTTTCTGTTTTTTTGGTTTTTTTTTTTTTGTTGTTGTTGTTTTCTTTTAGAGGCTGGTGGACCTGTCTATTTTTATGAGTTCCAGCACCGGCCCCAGTGCTTTGAAAACACAAGGCCGGCCTTCGTGAAGGCTGACCACACGGATGAAATCCGCTTTGTCTTTGGAGGTCCTTTCCTGAAGGGCGATGTTGTCCTGTTTGGTGAGTAACTGGCTGTGGGCTCCTTGTGCAGGAACAGGGAAGACAGGATGAGGTGAGAAGAGTCAATTCCGCATTGCTTGCATAAAGGCCCCTGCTCTTCCCACCCCACTATACAAAAGACAGTAAGGACTGACTGGCTGAGATTTAATCACCTCAGTGGTTTACAAGCGCACACACACACACACACACACACACACACACACACAGAGAGAGAGAGAGAGAGAGAGAGAGAGAGAGAGAGAGAAGTTACAAGAAATCACCCATAGGAACTACCACTAAAACATTTAGTTTAACATTTAAAGCATTGACAAAGGATAGAGCTTTCATTGAGAGTGTTTGTGGATTGTGGCTGAGTCCTTTTATTTACCTATTCATCCTTATTTTAGAGATTATGACAACGAAGCTGCTGCTAAGGCTTTTGTTTTTGTTTTTCTTGTTTGTTTGTTTTGTGTTTTGTTTTAAAAGGAGGAAGCTAAATGATTGCTATAAAGCAAATACTAGGTATTGAATACATGCTTTTCCTCAGCAGTGAGCTCACACTCTGGGTGAAGAAAGGCTTTCCCAAACTGGAGACAGTGATGAGCCTTAGTATTTGGGAGGTGAATTCCTTGAATTCCAGAGTCTGTCAAATCTGTAAGAGCAAGCTAATGAAAACTTGAACAGCTTATGGACAGATAGACATGTGGTTGGCTTGTAATGAATGGAACCTTCTCACTTTCAGTCCCAGCAGGAGAACAAATCACTACCCTTGGCTGGTGAATCATTCTTTCTTAAATCAATCCATGTCTGGAAGGACAGTGTGTTACAACTGGTATATTCCAGGAGCTGTGGGAAACAGACAATTTCATATGTAAGAGGAAGGCTGTACAATTTAGAGTGTGTGCAGTTCTTGGCCTAGCAATTGTGTGTGCAGAAGTGTGGATAATTGTATCCACATGTGCAAGAACATGTGTACATGAAAACACTGCCTACTCCAACAAAAGATGAGACACCATGTAAATATGTATAACTAGATTATTGGATACACATACTATGTTTAATACAATCTTAAATGCAATTGCACCTACATACATTTGAATGTATTATGATTTCATAGACCAATTGGCAGATTTACAGCTGACAACATAGATGGGTACCGGGTACCCACCTTCCTGCAGCAAAGTATCCGCATGGAGGTGATGGCATTTACCTGTCCTGTGCTAGTTATGCAAATGAGGCAGAAGGGATTTAAAGGGTGGGAGTTTTCAGATGCTATAAACAAAATGGCATTGTTTTATAAATGGGCTGTAGCGTCCTTGGGATTTGTTGTTGTCAGGGGCATCTTGTAAGCGAACTTTAGCAGCTAGCAGTGTAGTAAATGTGCGTGAGAGAGAGAGAGAGAGAGAGAGAGAGAGAGAGAGTCTTGTATTCAATGGGAATGGCTAGAGCAGAGGACCAATAAGAGAGACAAGCTCAGCCTGCATTGTTTGGAAGCCAGGATCCCTTGTGTGGTGCCTCAGCTGCATGTGGGAGCTAGGACTTAAAGATTCAGTGAGGGACCAAGGTATGAATGGGCTCAGTGAATGAGAGAAGCCTTGGGATCCCCATGAAGCTGGAAAGCAGCTGGGTTTATGTTCATCTCCTGCAGAGGAAGCCACTGAAGAGGAGAAGTCTCTAAGCAAGAAGATGATGAAATACTGGGCTAACTTTGCCAGGAGTGGGTGAGTGAGGCAGCTGACCTCCATGCGATTGGGTGTTTAAGAATGGCCGTCTTAAACATGGTATATACTCGCTTATATAGACCTACAAGATATGATAAACATAATGAAGTTTATACACCTAAAGGAGATAAACAAGAAAGCAGACATGAGGTAAGATGATCAATCCTCACTTAGAAAGACAAATGAGATGTGCATTGGACGTATGACAGGAGAAGGCCTCCTGCAGAAGGCATCTGAAAGACCCTACCAAGCAACGTTTCAAAACAGATACTAAGACTCATAACCAAACCTTCGGCAGAAGGGGAGTTAGTATGACAGGGAAAGATAGGAGCCCCACAGGGACCAAATATATCTGGGCACAGGGTTTTTTTTTCTGAAATTGTTTCTCCAACCAAGGACCACGTATGGATATAACCTAGAACCTTTACTCGGACGAAGCTCGTGGTAGCTCAGTAACCAATTGGTTTCCCATAGTAAGGGGAACAGGGACTATCTCTGACAGGAACTCAATGGCAGGCTCTTTGACTCCCCACCCCCCAAGGGAGGAGCAGTTCTGCTAGGCCACAGAGGAGGACTTTGCAGCCAGCCCTGAAGATAGCTGATAAAACAGGGCCAGACGAAAGGGGAGAAGGTCCTCCCCAATCCGAGGACTTGGAAAGGGGCAGGGAGGAGATAAGGGAGGGAGGGTGGGATTGGGAGGGAATAAGGGAGCGGGATACAGCTGGGATACAGAGTTAATAAAATGTAACTAATAATAACAAACAATAAAAAAAAGAATGGCTGTCTTACTGGAGTCTGCTCTCACTTCCAGGGATCCTAATGGGGACAGCTTGCCTCTGTGGCCAGTCTACGACCAGAAGGAGCAGTATCTGATGCTGAATTTGAACATCAGCATTGGACATAGACTGAAAGATCAGAAAGTGGAATTTTGGACAGATACCTTCCCCCTGATCATGTCTGCTTCTGAAGCGCTTCTCAATCCCTCTTCCTCCTTAATCTTCTTTTCTCTACCGTTGTCTTTCCTTTTCTCTGTTGCTCCTTAGAAGTCATATTTGTGCAGTTCTGATTTTCCCCCTTCTAAGTTTCTCCCTCAACCATTATCCTCTTTCCCCGTTGAGCTGCTTTCCATGGGGATTTCTGTGCACTAATCTGCTTTAGCTGGTGTTTTATGGGCTTAGGGATGAACCTTATGAAATTCTTTTCAACATCAAAAAAATTCAATTTGTCTTGGAAGGTAATGAGATTCTCTCAATGAGTCTGGAGGAGGGCTGGCCCATTACTTGTCATATAATTATGCCATTACTCATATGAAATAAAATCAAAATGCAAAATATATGCAGGAAACACAATTTAATTTATGCTCATAAATCTCCTCTTACCCCCCCCACCCAGCACTCAAGATAAAGATAGTGAATAAAATGGGAGTGAGTCCCTTAACCCCAGTACAGTAGAGCTTTTAGTATAAGCCAAGTCTTGGCACCTCTTGGTTTGAGCTGTGCCTCAGTGAGGAGTGTGGGGGAGGGACAAATGCTGTAAAGTGTCCTGCTCTGATGTCATCCAAGGTCTAGGGGTGTAGAGGGCTAAAACCAGACAGCAAGTTTCAGGCCAGGAATGAGAAGAAAAGAGGCATTGCTGGTGGGGTTAAATGTGATTCCACAATTCATCAAAGCTATGCTGAGTGTTTCATATGTTCCAGGCATGTCTCCAAGGTGTGCAGGGGGGAACAGGAAGCAGGGATTAGGGGAGAGCCACGCCTCTGAATATCTTACAGTGTAAGTTTAGTGAGTGCTACTTGGGGAAAGCGATGTGGTTTAAGATTTGGAAGAGAGGAAACTCGATTTAGATCAAAGCTGCAGGCTTCTTCTGGAGAAGTCTCATTGGTTCTAGAAAGGATGGAATCGAGTTAGCCACCTGGTAGGTGTGTGTGTGTGTTCTGTTTGCCACCATTCAAAAAAAGTAAGGTGACATTCTTACGTTTTATATCCATACTGTCCCTGTGTAGCTTGCCACAGTGTCTTGTTATTATTGTAACTGCTTCAGGATTACAAATGAGGTATGAGCAGTAGGCAGGTTTCTGAGATGCCAGCAACCTCATGTTCATCCGGCTCAAAGATCTTCTACTGACAGATTGACTCTGACTGCCCAGAAGTGTTTTCTTCAACCCTTACGAAAACGAAATGGCTTGCAATTAGTAGTGGGATAATTTTGTTGGAGGAACTTTGTATTAAACACCATATTTCCAACTTCTCTAGAAAGTATAAGCAAATTTGGGAATCAGCAGCGTGCTGTGGAACCCATGGCCCACTTTGGTACACGCTGGAAGGTATGGCTTCCTCAAAACTGCTTTCAGACATCTTCTAGGAAAAAAATCATGCTTTCCCACGGCAAGTCTCTTTCTGCCAAGGTGCCTACTCTCTGAACACACCATCCAACACTGTAGGCTGTCTCTAGCTCAGGTGGTTTTGGAAAAGGTGCATCAAGAGATACCTGGGTCTAGAAAGAAGTCACACCATTTGTAAGGGAACCTGGAAATTACATGACCTCTGTGGCCTTTGAGAGCGCTTTCCTATCTTGATATTTGGAAAAAACTATCAGCTAGAAAGCGCTTATTTAAACAAAAAAATGTTGCAGGGTTGGGGAAGTGGTTCAGTTTATCTGGTGAGCAACAGGATTCATATATGAGGAGGATCCTTGGGTCAGTGGCCAACCAATCTAGCGTCACTGGTAAGCTGCAGGCCAGTGAAAGAGCCCGTCTTGGAGGAGGTGGGCTGCGCCCCTGAGGATGACACCTGACGTTGTTCTTTGCTCCCTGCGCACATGCACATGTGCCATGGGCACCTGTGAATGAATGCACGCGTGCAACAAACGTGCATTACATTATTACTGCATTAAATGCCGTGGTAGGCTTCATTCACACTGCCGATATCCAACATCCTCAAACACGGTCCTAATTTTGGTAGGCGTCTTGTTAGTGACATTCTCAAGTCACCCAGACATAGACCCCTATCCCTTCTTCTTCACGTGCAATCTGTTGCTCTTCGCATTTGAAGCTGACACATAAATGAAAGTTGATGTCTATTTTTTTTTCTATTTGGCTGTGACTCTCCTCTTAGGAGTGTTGCGGAATAATTTGGATGAGCATTCTAGCATCCAGTGGCTAACCAGACTCTGGTCACAATGAAATAGAAGCTTCATGCATGGGCCTGGACACCTGTATTTTCAGCTCACAGACATCCGATGCTCACTTTGAACCTCTGAGTCTATGCTCAGTCTATGCATACTTTCTCTCCAGAAGTCTGTCTTAAAATCCTGGGCATGGTTGGGGCTGGAGAGATGGCTCAGAGGTTAGGAGCACTGATTGCTCTTGCTAGAGGACCTGGGTTCGATTCCTAGCAACCACTATGGCAGCTCATAGCAGTCTGTAGCTCCAGTTCCAGGGGATCTGACACCCTCAAACAGACATACATACAGACAAAACACCTATGCACATAAAATAAATAAATAAATCTTAAAAAAATAATCTGGAGGTGGATGAGTACAGTTCCATTTTTAAGCTTTGGTGTTTTGAGACATGTTTCATCTAAACTAGTCTGGCCTTTAACTATATACATAACTGAGAATGACCTTGGACTCCTAACCCTCCTGCCTCTACCTTCCAAGTGATGGGATTATTGATATATGCCTTCACTTCTTGCTTAAGAGTATAATTTCATGAGCTATTTTGGAAATGACTGGTTTTTATTTTAAAGTATTTTTTACAAAATCAAGATTTTTAAGAAAGTTGGCTGTGTAAGGCCAGACTCCTTAAGCATACTCTTCTTGAGCTTTTTAAATTCACTGTCCCAAAGAGCTGAGTTGTTTCAATATCATCAATACAAGTACGGGGCACGTACCAGTTACCCATGCTTTTACATCATCGTAAAATCACAAAAATGTAATAATTTAATTATATTTAACTAAATAATTTTGTTTTGTTTTTACCAGGAAGTCTTTTTAGCTATCTCACTCCCAATCTTGGACCCCTTTCATTAAATCAAATTAACATCAAATTTAGGAAACAAAACACCAGTCTTTGCCTGTGAATTGCGTAGTGTCCAGCAGATGGCAGCAGACAACAGGAAAAGGTGCTTCCTGTGGCAGGGCTCCTGGAAGCTGCGGCAATACTGTTAACACAGGGATGAAACACACACCTACTGAACAGATAACTAGGAAGAAGAAGAATATTTCCGTCTTCATCTTCTCGATAACGTTTGGTATGGGAAGCGGTGTAATCCATGACAGGCACAACAAAGGTTGAGGAAGGTGTGAAGTGATTTTGTTTCGTACTTTCCCGGAAAGTTCTTTTTTTAATTAAATTTTTATTTTTTATATTAATTACAGTTTATTCAATTTGAATCCCAGCTGTAGCCCTCTCCCTCATCCCCTTCCACCTTCCCTCCCTCATCTCCTTCTTTGCCCCTCTCCAAGTACATGGATAGGGGAGGTCCTCTTCCCCTTCCAAGATGGCTATTTTTATTATGTTAATCTTACTGATCCATAACTATGGGAAATCTTTCCATCTTCTGACATCTTCTTCAATTTCTTTCTTTCCTTTTTTTAATTTTTATTTTTTTAATATTAGTTACAGTTTGTTAACTTTGTATCCCTGCTGTATCCCACTCCCTCTTTCCCTCCCAATCCCACCCTCCCTCCCTCATCTCCTCCCTGCCCCTTTCCAAGTCCACTGTTATGGGGGGACCTCCTCCCCTTTCATCTGATACTGGTTTATCAGGTGTCTTCAGGACTGGCTGCAAAGTCCTCCTCTGTGGCCTAGCAGGGCTGCTCCTACCTTAGGGGAGGTGTCAAAGAGTTCATGTCAGAAACAGTCCCTGTTCTCCTTATTAGGGTACCCACTTGAGTGAGGTATCCCAAAAGCAGAAAGACACACATGATATATTCTCACTTATATAGTCCTATAAGATAGGATAAACGTACTGAAATCTATACACCTAAAGAATATAAACAGAAAGAAGACCCAGGGTATGATGATCAATCCTTACTTAGAACGACAAATGGGATGGACATTGGATGTAGGAGCAAACAAGTAACAGGACAGGAGCCTACCACAGAGGGCCTCTGAAAGACTCTACCTAGCAGTGTATCAAAGCAGATATTAAGACTCACAACCAAATCTTTGGCAGAGTGCAGGAAATAAAAAAAGGGGGGGGGGGAGGTTAATATGACCTGGAGAGGACAGGAGTTTCACAAGGACCAAATATATCTGGGCACAGGGGTCTTGTATGAGACTGTTTCTCCAAACAAGGACCATGTATGGATGCAACCTAGAGCCTCTGCTCAGATGTAGCCCGTGGTAGCTCAGTATCCAAGTGGGTACCCCGGAAAATTCTTAAAGAGCCTCTGGTGAGGCAGCCCTTCCTTCTAGGCTGGCCTCTTTTTCTATTCTCCGGAGGGCCTTTGGACTGTGGATTGTTTGCTCAGTCTTACATGGGAACACACCCTATCTGATACTTCCTCAGACATCTTTCCCATGGCTGAGGGGGGAGGCTGTTTGCCACATTACCTTTGTGCTCTGCTAAAATTGATTTAAGGGTGCCTCACTTGTTCCCTGGGAAGGAAAGGGTAGAAAGAAAACCAAAACCAAAACCAAAACCAAAACACAGCAACAACAACGCAACCTACTTTGGCATTTGAGTGTGTCAAAATGCAGAACACAGTTACTGGTGAGTGTTGTCTGGAATGGATTGGAGCTCATGTTCAGACTTAAGGGTGTCCACTAAGGGGACCTGCCAGGAACAGTGTTATGGGAGCATGGCGTCAGGTGTTCAGGGTGGTGACAGGGCTGGCCAGCACACAGTGTGCTTATGATAAGTTCATGGCAACACATGTGAGGACATATGGGGACAGTTTTCATTCTCTTATTTGAAGGAAATACTTGAGAGAGAGTCATGTTATCATATTAGTCCACCTTCTGATACTATAACAGTGTACTTGAGACTGAGAGGTTCGTGAAGAGAAGCTTATTGAACCCACAGTCATGAGGCTCAAAAGCACAGCATTGGCATCTGCTTGGCTTTGGTGAGCCCTGCAGAACAGAGGACACTGCAATGGCAGGGGCTGTGTTCAGAAGAGAGCACCTGGAGGTGGGGGCTAGCCTGACCTACAAACGACAGCAATAAATGGCTCCATCCTTCACCACCCGGCAAATACCACTGAAAAAGCAACAGAGTCGAACACCCCTGTCCAAATTGCCATCCCTTGGGTGGAAGAAGACCAAGAGAGAAGCCTTCCTTTTTGTAAGCTGTAATCATCCATCCTTGATGTTTATCCTGAGCGGCACTCCTCACTGCCCCTGCTTCAGGTCCTGCTTCCAGATCTGTGCCTTGAATTCCTGGTCTGACTTCCATCAGTGATGGATTGGGTCACGGGAGCTTTAGGCTGAAATAAGTCCTTTCCTCCCCAAGTTGCTTTTGCTCATGGTGATTATGACAGCAATAGCAATGCCACTGTGTTCAGCACAGACTCTAGAACCTGGAAGGGGCACACAGAATACAGCATCCGGCCAAGGCTCTGGCAGCAGATGCTTCCTAAAGCACTGGGAGATGACTGCAGTGACCAGGACCCTTGGTCAATCTAATGCCTGTCACTAGCTAGTGGTGATGGCCAAGAGAGTTGCCTGTATGTTACCAAGTGACTGTAAATGGCTCATTTTCCACACAAGTAGCTTGTTTTCAGGTTTAGATCGTCTTGCAAATTTGATAGGTCATTATTTATATTTCCCCATGTGCTATTTTTTTTATTTTATCATCGTTTAATTTTTAAGTACATTGACATATCCTCCAAGTTCATCTTTAATTTATTTCCTGTAATACTGGCCTTCTCTTCGTAGAAATGAATGCCTTAAATTAAATTAAAATTAAATACATTTAAAAGCAATTCCTGCTTTTAAAGAAACTCAAAGAGAACACAGTGACACAGTGGGATGCCACTGTGGTGTAAACCTCCAAATAGAGAGAGCTGCGGCTTCATCAAAGGCTAATTCACCTGCAAAAGTTAGTGCCCCGTGATTCACTGACCTCAATAGCGCCATGAGCTGGGGACAAGTATTCAATACACAGAAGATTTAGTTAGATGCCTCATGGTGAAGTCACAACAGCGGTGGCTTGGGTCAAGTGCATGATCATGTCCAAACTTACATGCCTAGCACCATCAGAGATCGCAGGCCACAACAGCTAGGGGATGTGTCCTAACACCCTAGTTGAGCAACACTGGGGAGTCAACCTGCTCTACACTGTTGCCCTGATGATATCTGACTCTGGGGCTGGGGTTCCACAATAGAGAAAGTCTTATGTGCAAAGTTGGATATGTTTATGCCCGTCGACCTTAGAATTGTTGCAGAGTGTTCAGATGAAAAAGAGTAAACACAACTTGGTGGCCCTAAAGGATTTGGGGAGCCCTTTGGAAGGCAGAGGTGTTTTCTGCCACGTTAGATAATGAAATTGGTCTGCTTATGCAGGGCGGGGAATTGAGGTTTGGGGCAGGGACAGCACGTTCTTTAAGAGGAATGCAGAAGAATTGTTGCCATCCCATAATGTGGTTCCATGCTCTGGTCTTCGCTTCTCTCTATGCTTGCATGGCTTATGGTGAGTCCCATGAAATACAAAGCTATAGAAGCCCTGTTCCAAGGAAGAGGTGGGCGGAACTGCAAGGGATGAAGGGCTTGGTTCTGTGGCATGCTTTATTCTCCCAGCTTGTGCTTGAATTTGGTTCAGTCATATCTCACCAGCCTTGGCCATGAGAGATGTCACAGAAGACCATAAAATTCCTGAGACCCTGCTGTAGGCATCAGGTTCAGGAGGCCAGCATGCTAACTGCCAGCTCCACACGGGGGGATTAAGAGCCTGGATTATTTCTCCTTTGATTCTTAGTCTAATGTCTAGCTGGATCTGAAATATCTAAACTAGATCTTTAAAACATTTTAGCAGAATATTAAAGAATCAACCAGTAGCTGGAATGTGGATCTAAAACCAGCTCAGGCTGTTGTTGGCTGTGTACCTTTCGGCCAGGCATTTGCTTTCCTGCCTGAGCAACCCCTTCCCTAATACAGAGATAAGCCTAAGAAGATAGTCTTAATGGGCTGTAGTGTAGAGAAAATGGTGCTTGTTTCTGGAATACTTAGGATAGCTAGAGGAGAATACATACATAGGACATGAGTGTTGCCAAGGGACGCCTGGCCATTCAGAAAGTTTGGGGTGGAGAGACTGGGGACAAAGGCCTTTAACATGTTCCTTGTTGAAGGAAGTGGGGAGGCAGAGGAAACTGGTGTGTAGGACTGGCTATGTGGAGTTATTTCTGAAAACTGTGGGGGCACATTGGTGTTTCCCAGTGTTCTGGTATTCGGGTTTGGGTGGCCAGGACAGGCTAGGGACAGCTCAGGCTATGAGAACCAATTAAAACTGTGTCTGGAGTGTGGATTCTGGAGTGGCTATATGCAGGGAGTGATGGTTCCCCCAGTCCTCAAACTAACTCCAGCAATCTTTTCTTTTTGTTTGTTTGTTTTTCAAGACACAGTTTCTCTGTGTAGCCTTGGTTTGTACCCTGGACTCATTTTATAGATCAGGCTGGCCTCGAACTCACAGAGATCCACCTGCCTCTGCCTCCCTGAGTGCTGGGATAAAAAGTGTGTGCCACCATGACCTCCTGGCTTCGAGAGTTTTTAAGAGAGAAACCAAAGTCTTTAGAAGTTCTAGATTTACAATCATTTTATAACTGGACAATTTTATAACTCCAACTCTAATTTATTCATTCCATCATTCTTGTGAGTGATGAAGAAATATTTAGCCCATTTTATGTGAGAAGACACCATGGTGTAGAGGGTTAATGTGACTTTCTCAAGGTCGCATGCATGGATAGTGGGAAATGTCTGGAATCCAGGTCTGAGCTTTCATTCTGGTGTGTTCTTGCTTCTTCTCCATGTCCACCAGGGCACACATCGTCACCACCTGTGGTGGACACTGTTCACGGCAAAGTCCTGGGGAAGTACGTCAGCTTAGAAGGATTCACACACCCTGTGGCCGTCTTCCTGGGAGTCCCCTTTGCCAAACCCCCTCTTGGATCCCTGAGGTTTGCTCCACCAGAGCCTGCAGATCCCTGGAGCTTTGTGAAGAACACCACCTCCTACCCTCCTATGTAAGCCGCTGGGGTAGCCCTGGGCCTCATTCAACAGGGACACTCTGTCTCAATGCTGCAGAAAGGGGTCAAGGGCAATTCTTTGGTCAGCTGTATTTTTTTCTGGAGTCCTTCAGAACAGTGTAGGAATTAAAGCAGTCCAGAATTGTCACAGATTTTTAGAGCCCTTCTTCACCATGTGTTTGTCAAGGGTCCTTGACAGGTGAGCCCTGGTAGTGTGAATCCATGAACAAAGGAAACAATGATCTTCATGATACTGGCTGTTAAGAGACAACGCAAAAATTAAGAAATGATTTAGAGACTATGCTAAGATATACTAAGCGCTTTGATGAGGTAAAGAAGTCGAAATGAAAGTTCGTGTCTGTTGTGTCTTGAATGCTGGTGGGGCAGTGGGGACTGAGTATGAATAAATGTGGGAGGCTGGCTGCAAATTCAGCCTGGCTACCTACTCCTGGGCTGAGTGCTGGCAAGGTGGGTGAAGAAAGCTGGAGGTTCCGGGTGGCCTGACAGCCACTCCCTGAGCTGGCAGGCATCTGCCAGCATCAGGTCAGACAGCACCCATCTCCTCGGGGCCTTCTGAGGGTTCCCACACCCCTACTTCATTTGGGCTTCTTGCTGTTTCTTTTTTTCTTTTAAAACGTTTATCATTTTCACTGTTTGCAAGTATGTTTGTAAAAAAAGAAAAAAAAGAAATGTTGAGAAACACAGGAAGCGGAGACAGGAAAACTAAAACCACACACCATTTCGTCAGCCAGAGAGAATCTCTGGTAACATTTCCGTCATGCTTTTCATCCTTTTATCTGTGGCATACGTTCTTCCTGATCCTACATATAGGCACTTCAGCTGACTCTTCACTCATAAGAATATCATCAGTAACATAACCATTCCATCCCATAATTGTCACAGCCTGATATAAGAAAGCTATCTTAATTTTGCTATTGAAATACAGTTTATTTACTCAATTTCTCTTTTGGAGGTGTCATTAAGTTGGCTTTGATATTCTTGGCAAAATAAATAAGAATATGGTAGATATGTTTTAGCTAAATAATCACACACTTTCATGAATATTTTAGCCCCAGAAATTACATTATTGAATCAAACAATATGTACTTTTGGCTTATTTTCTCTTCATAAATATTCTAAATAAACATGCTTCTTTCAGTGATATACAAGAAATTCTTATTTAATAGCTGCTTGCCAATGTTTGGATGGGCTTAATCAAAGAATGCTTTTTTTGTGGTTGTTAAATAAGGAAAACAATAGTATAAAACTCACATTAACAATGTATACCATCGGATCTTTGTGCTATATTTATGTAGATACTGGTGAAGTTGAACTCCTTTTCCTCTTTGATATTTGAAAAGTAAAATCTGTTATGAATATAATTCCCCCTGCTATTGTTGACATAGGGCACACTCTCCAAGATGGGGAATCAGAAATTCATCTCTACTATCTCAGATTCTGCCACTTGACAGCTATGTGATTCTGGTACCAGAGAACCTCAGTTTCCCCTTTTATACTATAGATAGCATGCTTTCCTTAGGGTCCACTGAGATCAGTGAATGTAGATTGTAATTTACCTGGAGTATAAACACTATGTTGTCCTCCTGGCCATGGGTTCTCATTTATAAACAGAGGATATAAAATAACATGCCTATGGTTGATCCAGAGCTTAAATGAGTTGTTGCATGAAGGGAATTTTTAAACCAACTCTGAGAACCAGTTCACATTAATAATTACAATCTAAGAATAACAGCTGAGACCTCTTATCAGGGATGCAGACAATGGTTACTGGGGTAGGTGGGTACCAGAACCTTAGCAGTCCAAAGCTGCAAGGCCCCTAGAGCCAGCATTCTTCCCACCTGTATCTGGAAGATTAGGGAGCTGAGCAGAAAATAAATTCTCCCAAGGTCGCCCAGAACCTTGGAGGAGTTAGTGGCTGAGGAAGGACAAGGATGCAGATCCTTGTCCCACAGAGATATGGCCCCTGACCTGCAACAGGCTGCCAGTCTGTGGAGGTAGTTCTGGTGATGCAAGTCTCTCAAGAACTGGATCAGGTTTTTCTGGTGGAAAAGTAGGCCACCCTATAGCCTATACAAAGCCTAGCAGAAGAAAGTCCATTAGGCTGGGCAGGAAGGGCCATCTTCCATGCCAAGTCAGCATGCAAGCAACCCCTTTAGTTGACTAAGGCAGTCCAAGCCCTCCAGGAAGAGGAATGATGCCAGATCTTACCCTCAGCAGAATCCTATGTTTCCTTAGGAACCACAAAGACCCTCTTACCCTTTGATACCAATCTCATCTCCAGCTTCAAACTTGTCAGTGCAAAGCCGAGCCCCAGGTGACATGTCCAGGATCTGTCTGATGGAATCTCAGATGTTCTTTCTCCCTCCCAGGTGCTCCCAAGATGCTGTGGCAGGGAAGATGCTCTCTGATTTCTTCACCAACAGAAATGAGAGTATTCCTCTCACATTTTCTGAAGACTGTCTCTACCTAAATATTTATACTCCTGCCAACTTGACAAAGAACAGCAGCAGGCTGCCGGTAAGCACCGGGCCCACTGATCTGGACTTTTGATTTCCACCATCTGGCTTTTCTGTGCAAGTGGAATGGGGTGAAGGAAGCTTGGGACAGGTGCTTCATGGGCCAGAACTAATTGGGAGATACAGAGCATTCTATAACTATTGGGAATGCAACTGTTCCTTCTCTCATGCTGTCCCAGTTATGTCAGTCAGACTGTGGTATAGCTTGCTGTCCATCTCACTTTTCCAAGTTCCTTTATGCTAACAGAAGACTAACTAACTTATCTTAGTTACTTGAGATAGAGTATGATCCCCAAAACAGCCCTGGTCTAATTTGCAGCAAATTAAAAATGAAAAAGATCTTAGAGAAAAATGACGAACTTTTTGTTTTATAGACAGAGAAACTGAGGCATAATTGAAGAGAAGGATGTCAAACATTAGTGATAGAGGATAAGAGCTTTGGATTTTCTGATCTTTAAACCATCATCTTTGGTGTGAGCAAAAAATTACAAGAGGCTGTTGAATTTTTCTCTGCCTTTGGTTTCTCTCATCTATCAGTCTTGATGCTTCTGGAATATCCATCTCTATCCTATTCTCCCACCTTAATTCTCCCCAAAAGATGTGGTCCCCAAAATTTGGGGGGACGGGGTGCTGAAGGATGATGATCTATCTTTTAAAACCTTTTCCATGCTTCTGAGAGATCACAATCTTTCTCTATCAGTTGGAGTGGAGACTTTCAATTTCTTGTAGTAGAAGCTGACTGGAATCCCCGAATCATTAGACATGTAGTTTGAAACTGTCATTTTGTAGAAGACACAAATTTTACATGGTTAAAGTACAAAGTGTAGCTGGCTGTGGTGGTGCACACCTATAATCTCAACATGCAGAGAAGCAGAGGCAAGTGAATCTCTGTGAGTTCAAGGCCTACCAAGCAAGTCCAGGACAGCCAACGTTACACAGAGAAATCCTGTCTTGGAAAACAAAACAAAAAAGTAAGCATGAGTAACATGACTACACTAACCAGTGGTCCCAGAACAGACAAGAACCATTGAAACCATGACGTGATTGCCTTGGCTCATCCATGTGATCCAGGTGTTGTGTAGTTTTCTCTTTAGAGTGTGGCTGAAACAACAACAAATGCCTTGAAGGTTATATATTGACAATATGACAAGATACAAAAGAAGATTTTTAAAAAGGAATCCAAAGGTAGAGTGGGTTAAAAGGAAGATATTGTGAGGGGGTCCCCCCCATCAGTGGACTTGGAAAGGGGCACGGTGGAGATGAGGGAGGGAGGGTGGGATTGGGAGGGAATGAGGGAGCGGGACATGGCTGGGATACAGAGTTAATAAAATGTAACTGATAAGAAAAAAATAAAATTAAAAAAATAAAAAATAAAATAAAATAAAAATAATTTAGAGAATTAAAACATAAAGTAGGATTACAATGTTCTCAGACTGAAGAATCGTGGAAGCAAATAACACTAAGAATGGGTTAAAAAGTTATTTCAAATGCTTGGAGGTCAGTTCTTGGTGTAAAGCACAAACTATACATTTTTCTTTGTTGGCAACATTATAATATTTTTAAATACTCTTACTGTGGAAGGAGGAGGAGAGAGAGAGAAAGAGAGAGAGAAAGAGAGCTACTGGGCTTGGCATAGACTTTTGAAACCTCAAAACTTAACTCCAATGATGTACCCACTTCACCAAGGAGTCCAAAAAACAAACACCACGGCCACACCTTCAAATCTTTCCAAAGCAGTTCCACCAAGCTGGGTCCAAACCTTTAAATATTTGAGCCTATATGGGTGTCATTCTCATTCAGACCGCCAAGGGCGCATGCATGGGTCTTGAGATAATCACCATGCCTAGAAAGTTTAACTCACCACGAAAGAGTTAACTGATATAAAGTATGAATTCAGGTTGATGTAGAGTCCGGGAATGAGTATTGGGGAAAACAGCACATCCTGGGTCCTTCCTGTGTCTGCAGTGAAGTTATCAGCATGAAGGCAGGCTGTGGCACTCAGGGTGGTTGTAAAAGGCATGCACCTCCAGATGACACAAAGTTGGCTGGTGGGCTGAGCATTGGTGACAGAAGATGAAAGAAGATGCTTTTTGTATCCTTGCTGAGCACTGGCAGACTTTGGGGGTTGGCTTCTTTGAGTCAGGATGAGGAAAAGACTATTGGGCCTTGCTATTAAGGGCAAAATCTAGCGTTACCGGGTAGTCCCTGAGCTCAGTGCTAAAATGACGGATTCCCTTTCTCAGCTGTGTTCTCTCCTCTCTGCCTGATTTGGGGAAACTCCAATTACTCTAAGGAGTGTCACATAACCCTCAGAAAGACTACAGGACCAGCCATTTCCCAATAAGAAACCCATCAGTGTGCATCTGAGGGCTCCTGGAAATACCCTCTAGGTGTTAATGAGATGTCTTGGGGTACTTTATCTTTCAAACAATGACCTTTTCCCATACATCTAACCATACCTAGAGTACTCTCCTCCCATATCTAGAGTACTCCCATACCTAGAGTACCCTCACCCTACCACTGCCGGTGGGATAATTAAGTAGCGTGTTCCCCTTCTTATGACAGGCTGCTGCCTGTAAATAAAGTATTCCTGGCACTCCTAGCCCCAGCACATCACATGGAAACCCTCTCACTGTCCAAGGTTTGTAAGTTCCTGTTTTACATGAAATAAAGGGGAGCACCACCATCCAGTTTACCAAAGATCGTCTGAGACTCATCATTTATTCTGGGGAAGGAAGGGCTCCCCTCCTTCCTGAAGGATTAGCCACTGGACTCCCAGGCTTGACTGTTGGTCTGTCAGCCACTTCCTTCTGGCCAACTCAAACTTCCAACGTTCATCAGCATGTCAGCGCAGATCACTGACCACCATCTTTCTCTAGCTACACCACCCACCGCAGTGCCCAGTTGTGAAGGAGAGCAACTGGCTGTTTTCAAAGCAGCCATTCTGTGAGCCCAATCCAAATCTGGCTCCTGCCACCTCCTCTTGGTTTCAGAGCTCTGAGCCTCTGTTACCAGCTGTTCTCAAAGCAGCTTCTGACTCACAGGAGTCAAGCTGGGCCCTGGATGCCACCTGGGTTGGGTTTCAGACTCCTGAGTTTCTTGCTGCCATCTGGTCTGGTCCTGGCAACCCAGATAAAAGAACAGTAGTGCTTATTTTAGAGAAATCCTTTCTCCTGCACCTCTCTTGGCTCTGTGTTACACCCTTCTTGGCCCAGAGACCAGCATTCCTGGGAGACAAAAGACCAGAACAGAGAGCGTCTAATGGCCTTCCAAGTTCTGTTTCTTCTGACCCTTGCTGTTGTGTGCTGCAGGTGATGGTGTGGATCCATGGAGGTTCTCTGGTGGTGGGCGGAGCATCGACCTATGATGGACTGGCCTTGTCTGCCCATGAAACTGTGGTGGTGGTGGCCATTCAGTACCGTCTTGGCATCTGGGGATTCTTCAGGTAGGGCATTGAAGACAGCACATTAGTTCTCATAATAATCTATTGCATACTGATAGAACAAAAATAAGAAAAAGTTGAATTTAGCTTTTTTTCTTTTTTGGGAATCAAAGTCCAAGTACAAATGACCTCATAGTGGCCTATAGTGAGGACTTTTATCTGCATTGCCACATAGCTTATAAATAAAAATGGAGTCTTTAGCCTCAATATCACATCTCATGGTGGTAGAGGAAACAAGAGAGGAGGTTTGTTCTTCCTACAAGAGCTTTCTCTTGGTAACTCAGGGTCCCATACTACACAGATACCTTCCCAGTGTAGTGCAGCAGCTAATGACCTCATCATCTGTCATTGGACCTTGTATTTTACAGAATCCATCACTGCATATTCTTGCCACATTGGGAAGCAATAAACCTTTGTATCACAAACCACATGTATGCCACAAGAGCTGCAAAGTCAAAGATTAGGACCCAGTTCTAGTGATGCAATTTCTTGTGGAGCTCTTCACTCAACTCTTTCAAAGTGCATCTGGTCCCTTCATTATTAGACCTCACTCACTTCTTCATTTGGTTGAAATATGGTAATTTGGGGGTCTTTTCTAATCACCCACTCTTGCTTCCAAATAAGTGACACAGGGACCTAGTAGATTTGTTTGACAAGTTTTAAAGCACTAGAGCTGGGTTGCTATTCATCTATTCTAACCCTCTTTGCTAGTCTGGCTGCTTCTCATCCACACAGCCCAAATTACTTGTCATATTGGTCCTGCCTAGGCTGCTTCTGCTCTGTCAGGTTGGTCCTTATCATGAGCTCCTCATGGCCATGTGCTTTATCTTCCTCTTCTTCCTTCTTCTCCTCTTTCTTCTTCTCTGCCTACCTTGTGGTCCCTACCTGAGATCCCTCCAACTGGGAAAAGAAGTTCAGCTTCCTTGTCCTCTCTTGTCCAGCTATAGGCTGGTCAGCTTCTTTATTAACTAATCAGAGATTTTGGGGAGTGGTGTTTACTCAACATTGACCAATGATCATGACAATGCCCACATCTGAACTGCAACCAGATCTCGGGGCACTGAAATCAGCATCTGAATACACAGAACAACAGAGCAACCCACAACACCATTCCTCAGCAATGCCTGACTATCTATTTTTGATCATTTGTACTGTTTCTCCTGCTTTGATTCTCACTCTTGTGAGGCCCTGATGTGTTTTTTATGGCCCATTCTTCATGTTCTCACTTCTGAAACACTCACCTCTGTTGACCTGTGCTGGCAGTACACCGCTTTCCATGTATGGTCAACATGCAGCACTAGTGATTGAATACTATACATCTCATATGGATGGAAAGAAGGGAAAGCCTCCTGAAAGAACTTAGTGAGTGCTCCTGCATGTTTTCACCTGCCCCTGCCACCCCAGCTTCTCTTCCCCCAGGCCTACTGTGACCTTCCTCAGTACTCCTCCTAACCAAATGTGACTCACTGGACCAGCCATAGACAGTTACTACTGCCTTCTTGAGATGATCCTTCTCCTAGCTTTAGTCATATTCCATCTTGCTGGTTGCTCCTTCTCCCTCTCCAGTAAAGCCCCTGAGTGATCCCGGCAGTACTTTTATAGCTCCGTGTTTATAGTCCTTTAAACCCCAGGTGCTCAGCTTTAGATACCTCTTTTTGTTTCCCTGGGCTGTCTACAAGATGCCTTTAGAGAGGTACATGGAACTGTAGACTCCATTTATCTCCCCAACAAAGATATCTTTTTCCTCAAAGGTCCCTGCATAGCTACTGACAGCTCCATCTTCCACTTTTTTTTCAGGATAAAAGCCTCATGGGAGCCTGGATTCTTCTTTCTATACTACCCTACATTCAGTTCCATATCAAAAATTTTTGGCTTCCTTTTGAAATACGCTCAAAATGTAGCTACCTTGAATCAGCTATTTCTGCCTACTAATCAAAGCCCTATGCCTTTGACCTGGGTAATTATCATAACTGCTTATTGTCATAATATTGCTAATACCTTGATTAGATTACACATATGTCAGAGTGAGTTATGACTCGCCGCTAGAGAGAGCCCCTGCTCGGTCTAGGTCTACAAGGACATGCAAGTCCTAGACAAGGCTCACAGCCATGGTCTTCCCAATTGCACACTAGCCACATACACAGCTTTGTTCCCATGGCCTTAGGGCATTTGTACTTACTCTATACCTTTCCTTAGATATTTCTGAGACAGATGTACTCATTCTTTTCAGGTCTCTATTAAATGCCATTGCCTCAAAGGATTCTTTATGGTTATGAAATCTTAAATTCTTCCCTTTAGACCTCCCCTGTCTCTTTCTTTGCCCATTTTACTCTTTCTACTAGATGATATTATGCCCTCTTTTCATCTGTCTAATTCTGGTTTTCAGTGAGAGCTAACTGTAGCCAGAAGGTTTTGTATTGTTTCCAGTTGTGTTCTAGATCTTAGACCACTTTTCCTTACATAATGGCTCCTCAGCACACACTTCCTAAGAGAGGAACACCTCACTTAGAACAATGCTGTAAGGATGAGGGGTAGATGTTGGTCCCTGCACCAGGGATACACAACCAGCCTTATTCCAGAAAAATCCCACACTAAGGACTTCTAGCCAATCTGTAGTCCTCAGAACGACGTGCCATATCTGTTCATACTTACATCCTATTCCCTTGCAGCACAGGGGATGAACACAGCCGGGGGAACTGGGGTCACTTGGACCAGGTGGCCGCACTGCGCTGGGTCCAGGACAATATCGCCAACTTTGGAGGGGATTCAGGCTCTGTGACCATCTTTGGAGAGTCAGCAGGAGGTGAAAGTGTCTCTGTTCTTGTAAGTGTCCCTGGCAACAGGCCTCACGCCCAAGTTTTATGCGGCTGCTAATAGGATCTCTTGGTGACCAATCAGTCCAGACATGGCACTTTTGCTCTCATAGTTTAATCTACTTATTGCATAACGTTGAGCTAAGGATCAACTTCTCCTTACCCTCAGAAAGATTAGAACTCAACTGATACTGGGACCATATCAATAACCAATTTTGTCTGTGCAGGTGTCACTATCTACCTTTTTCATGTAGAGTATTTTCCTCTTTGTGTTAGAACTTAGCATTAGAACTCAGTTTACCATTCATGAGAACTAGGGGTAGAGAGAGAGAATACAAATAAGGAAAAGACAAGAACATGAGTTAGACAGAGTGTTATTTAATGGTTCTAAGGTAGATCTGCATGTTGGGGGACTTGGTTATAGGCAAGGATTTTTCTCTGAGGTGGTATTAAGGCTTTTCTACTCTTAAGAGGGAGAACAGCTGGATTTGAGAAATGGGGGATGGGTGCTGTTAAAGGTAGATGAGGGAAAGAATGAGTGAATTAAGATATAGAGAGTATGGGACTCAGACACAGTCCAGGGGGACAGTGCCATGTTTTCTCAGTGTAGAAATAGGCTGTGGCCACTGAGGAAACAGAGGGTGTTGGGGGCTTGTGCGGGACTCTGGCTGCCTCAGACATGAGCAAAGGATTATCTCTAATATCTCATTGTTCAAATACATATTTGACATTATGAAAATATTTTAGTGTGTTTTTGAAGTACAGTAAATATTATATTTTAAATAAGCCTAAAAAAGCAACCTGGGGACTCACTATCCAGGCACCGTAAGTGTGGAAGTTTTGACAAACACATCATAGTTCTCCCAAATTTCATTTTTCTTTCCTCCTTCTGTCTGCCCTACCTTTCTGTTATCTTGTAGTCTTTGAGACAGGATCTCACTATGTAGCCCCAGCTGGCCTGAAACTTGCTATGTAGACCAGGCTGGTACTGAACTCACAGAGAGCTTCCTGCCTCTGTTTTCATTGAGATTAAAGGTGTGTGCCATCATGCAAAGTTCTACTTGTATCTATCTTTACCTACCCATGTAGCCTTTCTTATTATCTACTTACAATTTTTTAAACTATTTTAATATGGTGTAAATATTTCCCAAAATTTGTAAACTCTCTTATGTAACATTATCTTTTAGAATTGGAAGACATTCCATGGTTGAGATCACTGGTCTTTAACTTAGCCAGTCTCCTAAATTTAAAATATTGAGTTTGCCCTACACCATTTTTCTGGCAGGATCCTTCAGCTAGACAGGTCCTAGGCCCTAGGGGAGAACCTACTCGTATTATTCTGCCAACTGAACATAGTCTTAGCATAACCTCTAACAACTTACTATGGTACCTATAGGTTAGTGCATTTTCAACCCTCACCAGAGAAGCTTCTTTTTTTAGTAGACAGTGATTAATGAAGAGACCTACAACTGGTCAAAGTGCAGAGACTGAGGGACTGTAGAGTGCTCAGCCCTAAATGGGGCATCTACCTCACACCTCTCCTCCCCAAGACTCCAAGATTATTGCAGAAGAAGTGAGAGAGGATTGTAAAAGCCAGAGGTGGTGGTTGACTGCAAGAGGAATGGCACAGCAGGGCAGTTGCACAGATTGCCTCATGTTAGTTAACTCATGTCATGTCGTGACAGCATGCACAAGACCTGTGCCACACCAAACCAGAGGGAGAATGGCATGGAATTCCATCCTACCTGAGGAACTATTGCAGTTGATATGTGCTGAGAAAAGCAGTGCTGGTTTTCTTGAAGGAGTTGGTTTCTGCTAGGTAGAAAAGCTCCAGTGGATGGCCAAACCTTCAAGACTATACAGCTTCATGGGTTTAAAAAAAACCTAGAATATAAAATTGGGAAGGTAGAGAAGAGGGGTGGATCAGTGAGGAACTGGGAGAAGGGAGTGAATGTGATAAAAACTCACTGAATGGAATTTTTTAAAGATTTTAAAAAAGAAAGTTTCCCATTGTATCATGAGGAGTCTTAGATATCTCTGCTGCAGTTCCATTATCTTATGCTTTTTCTTCTTTCCTTTTCTCTGTTTTGGCTCACACACAGCACCTCAGGCATATCCCTGAGCTATAATCTTAGCTCTGCTCAATTGTTTTATAGTTCAAAATAATTTTTCATAGGATTAATTCCAAGTCATAGAAGCAGTGAAATAGAACTTGAGGTTAGGGATTGCTAACTCTTTTCCCGATAGTTTTGTTGTTTTGATTGGGTACTTAATAAACACTTCCTGTTCTGATTCTTACTCCAAACTCTGGTTCTACACCAGTGAGGTTCTCTTAGGAAATTTGGTCCCACAGGGAGCCTGGGATGCCTGCTGGATAGATGATTGCATCTGTAGGGCTCCAGCATCTTAGGTGAACAGCCAGGGCTACGGAGCCGATAGAGGGACACTTAAAGGGCAAGTGAATATAAAGTCTGCCTCTTCCCGTCAGGTGCTGTCTCCTCTGGCCAAGAACCTCTTCCACAGGGCCATTTCTGAGAGTGGTGTGTCCCTCACTCCTGGTATGGTCAGGAAAGATGTCAGACCCGTGGCTGAGGTAAGATATACCTTGTACAGTTCCCGTCCTTGGAAGTCTTTCTTACCTAAGGATTCAGGTCTAAGACAGATGGGATCCCAGCACAGAGAAGGGAAGTGGACACAGCCCCAGAAGTACTGTTTGCAAAGCAAAAAACGGTGTTCTCCGAGGGACTGTCATTGGGCAGACTATGTACTATGTACCTAAGGGCAGGCCCATAGGTCCAAAAATGGCCAACACAAAATGAACCCAGTGACATTTTTGGAGTTTTTGTTTTTGCTTTTTTTGTCTCATAACACTTTGTCTGTTTTTATTATTATTTTTTTTTATCTTACGGATCCTTTGCTTATATAAATTTTATGGTATTTCTATTTGCGAATGTGTGTGTATCTGTGTCTGTATGTGTTTCTTGTGCTTTTTCTTGCCCCTCCCACCACAGATTTTGTTATTTTCAGGTGCCTGTTTGTTTTCTAATGAGAGAAAAAAGTAAGAGAGAGAAAGTGAGGATTTGGGAGGTGGGAGGAATTAGGGGAAGGGGAAACCGTAATCAGAATATCCTGTATGAAGAAAACTAATGATGCTCAAGAAATCCCAGAAGTGAGACTGGCTGAGCAGGAAAGCCTGCAGGCCTCCATCCAAACCATATTATTTAAGCTTGAAAGCCTCTCTGCGTAAACTGTGCTCTCTAGCCTGCCTGTATGGTTTTGATGTATAGAGATATGAAGCCTCACACGTCACAGGCATTAGTGCTCCTTAAGTGGCAGGTGCAATAATCACCCTCATCTATTGGAAGAAAAATTGAAACAAATGGTCAGAGAAGGGAAGAGGCTATTGTGAAGCAGACAGTGAAATATAAGATTCTGTGCTCTTGACTGCACTGAACACAGCTTGTGTCAAAGACAGCCACTTTGACAATCATGTGTCCATTTATAATGTTCTTAGCTACCGGAAATAGAGAAATGCCAACATTTCAGTTAGAAACAGGTGTAAACCACCGTTGGTTACACTATTGTTGTTGGTCTAGAGAATTTGTACTTCCTTCCTTCTTTAGAGATTAAGGATAGTATCAGATACCATCATCTATGTTGATGGAGGGGAGGGACATTGATATTGACCTCTGCTGTTATTTTGATTTTGTCCAGCAAGTTGCTATTGCTGCTGGGTGTGAAACTACTACCTCAGCTGTCATGGTTCACTGCCTTCGCCAGAAAACAGAGCACGAGCTCTTGGAGACCACACTGAAATTGGTAGGTGAACTCATCAGAATGGTCCCACCTTATTCCTTGTATCAGGACTTATCTATTATCTGTACTTTGCTTTGGTTGATTTAGCTAGGGTAAGCTCTCACCCATTAGAAGCCTTTTGAGTCTAACCTGGAATTCTATTATTCAATGTTACTGTGGAATACTATGAATATAAAAACGCCCAATAGCAGCAGGATGAAAAGTTAAAGATTGGGGTTATGACCCATGTCACAGCACTGGCACAACATGGGCAGAGTCCACATCTTTTCAACCAAACCAAAAGAAACCAAAACAAAATAACAGAACTATATAATCATCTATAACCTATCCTAAAGCAGTGTGAATCATCCAATTAATGCTTCATATCTACTTTAAGAAATTAACAATCTCACATTCCATAACTAATTACTATTATAAATTTTAAGATGGGGTTATTAAGCACATTTTTAAAAGTATGACAATTTATCTTCACTGGTTAATTATAACTAAAAAAATTGCTTCCTTCCTTTCTTCCTTCCAAGTACTCCCACATACTCCTGAACACTCTCCTTAAAATCATGGCCTCTTTTTTTGCATTAATAGTTATTGCATTCATATATGTATTCAACTATTCACATATATTTCTAACCTGTTCAAGCCATACAATGTTACTTGTATGTGTGTTTTCAGGGTTGACCATTTGGTATTGGATGACCGATTGGTATGCTCTTCCCTGGGGAATAGCATCTCTCCAGCTCCCAGATCTCTCCAATTGCCTTTAGTTCTATGTGTAGGGTGAGGACTAATGGACTTTATCCCATCCACTTTGACATATCCATTGGTGTCATCACTGTTCAGCTCATATTTGGGAATTCATGTTGGTGAGCCTTTATGGTTGTAGAGTCTCACATTATGAGCAGAAACAACTTCTGATCCTCTGGCTCTTACAATCTCTTCACCTCCTCTTCTGCAACATTCCCTAAGCCTTAGGCACAGGAGTGTTTTATGGATACATTCATCAGGACTGGGCTCCACAACTCTGCATATTGATTGGTTGTGGTTTTCTGTTGCAAAGAGAAGTTTTCTTGATGAGGGGTCAAGACTACTCTTATCTGCGGGTATAAAGACAAATGTTTATAATTGTTGTTAGGGGTTATACTAACCATACCCTATACACCCCCCCACACACACACAATACCACACAAATAAGCCTTGTCGGGGTACAGCAGTTCGCAGTAGATGGATCCTAGGACTGGTTCGCATGTATAGGCCAGACCTGATAGCTAAGGTGTATCACTGTGAACACTCTAGTCTTGATGAACACACCACAGGAGAGTGTGGTTTAGAACAAATCAATGAGATTCCTGGCATCTGGGTTTACTAATGCAATTGAACACTCAGGACAAGAGGCCTCGAGGAGAGAAAGGAAAGAGCAACTGAATCTTCAAGTGACTCATATCCTAGTATGTGCACGCAGGAGATGTTACTGAGAACCTACACCACAGCTTTCCATGCTTCTTTATTGGCTTTTTTTCTGAAGCACATCTATCTTTTTGGCAGGTTAAAGACAGAGCACACTACACTTACCACTTATATCCTATTTCCTTAGGAACTTTCTGGTTCCAGCATTAGATTTCATTTCTCTTGGATTGACGGCTGCATGTATCTAGTCTCTAAGTTCAGGGATATGGTGACCCAACTCACATACAGAATTCTGAACTCATAAAGTTAGAGTGGGGAACAGTCAGGATGGGACAAACTGACTTTCTTTTGATGGGCTATCCTAATTCCTGCTCTGTCTCACCTTGAGGCCACTACGTCTTTGCCACCAAAGTCGTTTTGTTCTCCATTTTCCCCAAAGGAGAATTGGGCTGTTGTTACTGGAGCAAACAAGTAGGTAGATGCTACACCCTCTCCAGTGTCATCAGTGTAGCACATCAAGAGGTTGTGCTACTAGATGGGAGATAAGTTTTCTTCGGAAAGATGCTCCCTGGAGGTCCCTAGCAAGAACCCTAACATGGCCATCTAAGCCAAAAAGACGTATTCTAAAAGTCCCATGCTTACTCAGTTGCAAGATTGAATTGATGAGCCTTTTTGCTGTTTCTCTATGATTCTTGGAACAGTACAATTAACTATTCAAGGAAACATTTCTAATAGATTACTAAAAGCTTTAGCAAATAAGAGTAGAAGGAAAATAAAATTTTAGGAGAGGTAATAAATCAGATTTGGCATCAGGAATTGCTTGTGGAAAAACAAAACATTGTAGGTGGTAAAGGGACAAGAGTTTTAGGGCTTTCTAAAGAAAATATTTAATCAGGATCTGTTAGGATAATTGCTCTGGATATTCCGACGGCAGTAAAACTACTACAAAACCATTACCAAACACAGGTGTTTATGATGAGCCAGAAAAAAGATAAACATAGGAAGTCAAAATATTTTATATTATAGTATGAGTTTTGCGGGCAGGCTAGTTCAAACTATCTGTAAGGAAAGATTGTAAATCCTTAGCAAGACAAACAGGAGAAATTCCCCTCAATGCTTAAGTCTAGGGGGGTTGTAAATCTTTAGTCGACTTGGTTTGGAGGGCAATGACAGCCCCTGGCCTTCCACTCACTAATTAGTAGCAGTAAACTGCGTTAAACACCACTAGTTTAAGGTTTTGTATTTGCTTTGATTAAAAACTTTTAGGCCAAGATTTTTTGTAGACACTGCTTCTACCAGGTTACTCTTTCAGTTAAAATGTAAACGTTGTATTGTTGGTAAAAAGTCTGAATGCTCTGGGAAGTATGTCAACTTCAAGATGCTTCTTTATATAATCACTATATAAGTGCTAGCTTGACTTCAGTAAATTGCAGTAGATCCAAACCAATACCACTTGTGTGGTCTCTGTCATTTTGCCTACCTGTGTCTAATCTGATATCCAAACGCCTGATTCTCCCATGGGTGAGGGACTCCCGGCTGGGTTGGCCCGAGGCAGGTAGAAAGATAAAGAATATCTAAGGCATAGGCAGTGGGTCTGTCCATGGCTGAGTCTGAGAATCTGCCCCCTGGATGCTACCTTCCCTCATCCCAGCCTGTGCCCATTCATCAGCATATTCTGTGTAGGGTCCTTTCACCCTAGGCGCAAGTAAGGAGAAATCAGGCGGGAGAGCCTGATCCCCTGGGGATGAGGGTCAAATGATCAGCTTTTACAATGGAAACCATCTCACCAAAATCTCTACCTCTATCTTCACAGAAACCTTTTAAGGTCAACTTATTTGAAGACCCCAGAGAGGTAAGGACCTTGGCCTTTTGGATTATTAGTCTTTAGTCTGTCAGTTTATAGTCTTATTAGTGCTATTTTGTGGTTACCTCTGAATGAGAAATTTTCCCTCGTGGAGTCACATCATTCCTTGTGTGTATACTGCTGAGACCCTAGGCGGGAAAGTCATTTACCAGGGTAACAGCAGTGAACAGAAGGACCAGAGGTAAGTTCCATCTGCCTTCCACTCCAGCAGTCCCTGCCAGCAGTCTGCATCCCCTGCCAAGTTTCACATTCTCATTTACACTTTCTACTCCCACTGGGAGGAAGCTACATTAGAACCTTCTACTGTCAAGGGGCCAAGATGCCTGGCCAAAGGCCTTAGCAGCCTTCATTGAAAAGCTACAAGCATAGGAGGATGCCTAGAGGTAATCTGTGACAACAGAGGCATGACACCACTCAGCATCTGGGGAATTCCATCTGTGTCCCCTTTCCTGCCCTTAATACTCTTGGATCACTCATCAGTGGCTAAAGTCTGGGGACATTAGCTATGTAATAATACACATCTGGCCTCTCTGCTGACTGCATTGGTATCTCAGGACTTCCTTTATGGGTCTTACGAAGATGAGATGAGAGGTTTTTTTCAGCCATTCAAAAAAGTTTAAGTAAGGATCCACTGCATGGCCAAGTGTGATTTGTCAGCTGAAACAGGGCAGTGAAATAGAGAAGATTCCCTGGTCTATGGAACCTTTCATTTCACTGTTGAGATGTGTGTGTGTGTGTGTGGGGGGGGGTAAGGATGTTATGTGTTCACATTTAAGATAAAAAAAGAAATTGACAGATGGTGAGAAAATCTGGCCGTGACTTATTGTGAGGAGTAGGGTTGAGGGATGGCTTGGTGAACTGGTGGTATCTTAGCAAAGTTCTGGAGAAGGAGGCCAGCTGTCAGGAAACCTGGAGAAAGAGTGCTCTAGGCAAAACAAACACAACTGCAAAGTCCTGCTGCAGGGGATAGGTGTGTCTGGAGAGAGGCAGCGAGGGAGCAACAAGCTTGAGGCTGTAGAGGTGGAGAGGGGATTGGTCACTAAAAGGCTGAGAGGGCTTAGAGTAAAGCAGTGACAGAGTCTCAGGTCTTACAAGGTTCACACAGATGCCTGTCCCGGGTCTGGTGATGTACACCTTTAATCACGAGGGAGGGAAGCAGCAGCAGGCTGATTTTGGTTGATTTGAGGCCAGTCTGGTGTACACAGGAGTTCCATGGCAGCTGGAGCTATGTAGAGAAACCTTGTCTCAGAAAGTAGCAAAACAAAACAGCTAACACCAAACCAAAGTTTACATTTTACTTTCATGTGTGCAGGGAAGGATAGTATGTGGGTAGAGGATCCAGCGGGGAGGATTAGTTGCTCCCAGGGTCCAAGCACCAAGGTGGCGAGGTTGGTTGGATTCTTGGTGTTTCTGAATCACTGACATGACTTGCTGATGGACAGGGAGGAGAGGGTACCCATGGTCTCTCTGACCAGAATAGGCCAATGCCCATGGCTCCACAGTGCAACCTCATGCATCCCTGCATGGACAGCACTGATGACCACGACTCTCACGGTTGCTGATTTCAGTGTTCATCTCACAGATTCTAACCCGAACGGCCTGCCCAATCTCCTTTTTGGTCTTTGACATTCTTCTCCCTCTATTTGATTTTCTGCTCTCCCGTGCCTTTCATAACACTCAGGGTGGTGAGATCTTGTAGAGGAATGGAGCTGTTTTTCCTGACAGCCAGCAAGTGAAAAAGAAAGGGATGAGCATTGCTACCTGCTTTGAGACTTCTCCCCAGTGACCTGAAGACCTCACTCACACTGAGCTCCATAAAACAGAGATCTCCCCATCCCTATCCCAGCTACAAGCATGGGCTGCAGGTCAAACCAACACCCCACCCACTGGGATCACATAAGACCTAAACTGTAGCACCCCAGTCAGTCACCTCTTCAAAATAGTCTTGGTAGATACTGTGACACAGTAGGACAAATACTGAGCAGAAAAGGAGACACACTACCTGGTGCTTATCTCTCTCACTAGGTGCTCCTCCAGGGCCAGGGAATTTCCTAGAATTAGTCCTGCATACTGACACCTGCTATGTCGTTCCTACTGGCAACCGCATTCATTCCAGATCCCACTGTAGATGGAGAGAACTTCCCCACATGGCCACGCGCATCTTTCGTCAAATGAGCTGCCCCTGTTGCTAGCTCCCGAGGCTCCCTCTCTGCTCTGCACAGCTATTTTATGGCAGCAGTAGTTGGACTCAGTACTTCTTTATAGCCCATGTACTGGAAGAGGGTTTGACCCACTTTTTTTCATGTTTTGCTTATTTGAAATAATGAATGAGATTCCAGTTAAGGCACCTTGAGTGGAGAGCTCAATGCACCTCAAAGCTATTTATGCAACTCAAAGCACTCAGGTTCAGATGCAGATAGAAAAAAAAATGCATTCTGTTTCCACTAGTCATAGATTCTGTATGTATGAATGACTTGTTAAAACATTTGCAAGCGCAAGTCAATACTTATGACACTTGGAGTCTTTGGAATCATGTGCACAGAGCAGCAAGAACTTTGCCAGGTTCCCATGTGTGGCAGAGAGGGGACTCTTGCCTTCTTGCTTCCTTTCCTGTATTTCTCACGTTATCCCTTCACAGTCTCTTCAGTGCTGCATTTTAATTTTGTGGTGTTTGCTGTTTCCTTGGGAGAACTTTCAAGAGAACGATGAGGAGTTGTCTGGGGCTCCCATCCACATTTGTCTCTAAGATGCCACATGGAAAGAAGAGCTTCCCTCAGGTCACCTGGCTGTGACATCACTGTTGCTGGATATGCAGCAGTGTAGCACGTCTAAAAGAGGGAGGAGATGTGTCTGTTCGTCTTGCTGTGGGAAAGAACTGCTCCACCCACAATGTTTGATGGACAGCCAGCTAAGCCTGCAGATTCAGAGAGTGATTAATTTTTCCCTTTGTCCTGAAGACTTGGACTTTTTCATTCTTCCCTCCCCTCCTTCTTTTTCCTCTCTTTCTTCTATCCTTCTTTTTGAAGATAAAGTCTCAGTGTATAACCCAAGCTAACCTGGAATTCACTATGTAGCTCAGACTCACTTCAAACTCAGAGAAATCCTCCTGCCTCACCTTCCTGAGTGTCAGAATTTCAGGCATGAGCTTCTATGCCCTTCTCATGATGATGACTTGTAATGGAAAGCATGGTTGTGAGACTAAAACCAAAAGAAATTTACAATTAAGTTACTTGGGTCAGAAAAATGTTAAGCATTTTCCATCATATTTTATAAATTCTATATTCAATAATAAGCCTAAACAGCATAACGTGGTTATAAACAGGAATCCCCACACAAATAAGGGCTGGTGAAAATTTTGTAATTAGAGGCACTTAGGGTTCTAGAATTTTAGTTCTACAATTCTTCTTGGAGCAGTGACCCAATTTACTAATTCTGTATTTATTGCAACTTTAAAGACATAGATTTTGTGAAGAGCAAAACCTCCCTATGTGTGTAATATCTATATGTATATATGTATTCACATGTAAATAAACCTTAATTATTCACATATTTATATATTTGTTTATACAAATATTTATATCTTACTATATAGATTTCTTTTAAGTGAAGATGTCCTGCTCACCACTCTGCTTTACCATTGCTAGCTCCCCAGTAGAAATGTTCTGTCCTCACGTCTCACAGACTTGGTCCCCTTGTTAGGTGCCTTGTTAGCGCCTTGTTAGTTGCTCATAGCCACTGCAGTCTGGATTCTGGCGTTGCGTTCACAAAGGCAGGGTGGGACAAGAGCATTCCCTGGGAAGACGCGACATTGCGTTGTTCTCTCCCCTAGAACTGCCCCTTCCTGCCTACTGCAATTGATGGAGTGGTGCTGCCAAAGTCCCCAGAAGAGATGCTCGCTCAGAAGAATTTCAGCACGGTCCCCTACATGGTGGGGATCAACAAGCAAGAGTTTGGTTGGCTGCTTCCACTGGTAAGAAAGTACAGATGCCACAAGACACACCTCACTCTGCTCCTTCAAGGCCATTCTATTCACTACCTCTTCTCTGAGTCCAGAGGAGCTGCACACATTGTCAGGAGTAGACATTGCCATGAACAGCTTCTCTAGGATGGCGCAAATATTTCCTGGAGGCTCTTGTCATGCATCTCATAAACACTGTGTCTTTTCATTAATGAATGCTGAGATGCTCAGGTTGGACAGACCCACAAAGATACTAGTCGTGAAAGGAGGAGAGGGAGGTTCAGGAGAGCTGGACATGCCCAGCTCTGAACGTGCTTCCAGTCTGAATGTGCAGTCACAGGCACTGTAGATCTCCACACATGACTAGGCACCTCTGAGCACAGTTAAGCCAGAAGCTAGTTAAAACAGTAGCATAGCCTTTTTGCAATAATGTAACTGCAGTAAGTTAAACAATTAAGCATGACCTTAACCTAAATCTCTGACACTAAAAGATATGGATCCACGTCTCTGAGTGCAGAGGCTTGAGTGCAACTAACACATGCTGAAAGTTTGCAGATCTCTGCAGGAGGGGTTCAGAGATCACCAAGATCACCTGAGTCTGAGGGGTGTGTGTTCTATGTCTTCTGTCTCTGACCTTTCTGCTTCTATAGACACTTCCATTTAAATTTTTTTCTTTGACTGGAGGACCAGTATACACTTGTGTATACACATGTGTCAAATGCACACACACACATACACACACACACACACACACACACACACATTTGTGTTTCTTGAATTTCTAGATGTAAGTCATTGATTTTTTATTTTTTTCTGATTCATGGAAGATCTATGCTCATTGAGATACAACAAAAAAAATTCCACTTTTTTTAAAAATTGATTTGATTGATTTTCCTTTTGGGTTCTTTCTGCTAATTCTCGAGGACTCACAAGTACTTAATTTCTTCAACAGATTATGGGATATCCGCTTTCTTCAGGCAAACTGGACCAGAAGACAGCCACATCTCTTCTGAGGAAGTCCAGCCCCTATCTTGTAAGAGGCTAGGGGATTATGAAAATTGATTGAGAAGCATAGAAAGGCTGAGGGCTCATGCCAAATGACAGAAAATTCAATGCTGCAAACGTATATAGGCTTTCACTTTTATGTTTTTGACAATCACTCTAGTAGAGACTATACGGTTAAAGAGGTTCATGATCTTTGAAGACTTCTAATCTGTTATGTGGCTCATGATTTAAGGGCAAGGGCTGCTTTCTTGATCTATTTCAGAACATCCCTGAAGATGTGATTCCAGCAGCCATTAAGGAGTACTTAGGAGGGGCAGAAGATCCCGTCAAAAACAAAGACCTGTTTGTAGACTTGATTGGAGACGTGTTGTTTGCTGTGCCATCTGTAGTGGTGGCTCGCCATCACAGAGGTGAGACCTGGGGGTTGGTCCAGAGGGTCACCGACATCAGCATTAGTTCCTGACCCATTTACCTTCCAGCATAGACAGATGAAGAAGCTCTTGAGTGTTGGGCCCAAAGTCCTTGTTCTACATAGTCAGGCATGGGCATTGTCCTATTGTATTATCCGCTAGGAAGTAGCTCACGCTGAGGAAAGGATCCAAATGTATGTAGTTAATTTAGAAGGCTCCTGATGAAGCACTGCCAACCACATGTTTAATCTATATGATGGAAGCTGGAGAGTTCTAGAGAAAAGTCAGAGTTTCTTTTGGTGCTGGGGACATTGATACCATCAAAGTTTGTGCCTCCACATGAATTGTATATGGACCTGTGTCTTCTCAGAGGCTGGATCCCCAGTCTACATGTATGAATTTCAGTATCACCCAAGCTTCTCATCAGACCTGAAACCTGGGATGGTGATGGGAGATCATGGAGATGAACTCTTCTCAGTGTTCGGTGCCCCATTTACAAAAGGTAAAGGCTCCTTTTAGTTATGCTGAAGGTAGGAGGCCTGGATTCTGGTCTTGTTTGGGTGTTCTAGTCTTTTTTGGGTGGTCTTGTTTGGGTGTTCTCCTCTTTGATCCTAGTTTCATGGGTCATCAAAATGGAGCTAAGTTAACTTGGGCAGTCCCTAGCATTTCTAATGGACATGGAAGAGGACTCTGTTTGTGTGTGCGACTTAAAAAAAGACCCAAGACCTGCTAACTATCCTATGAGGCAGAGAGAACCCTGGGTTATGTCATTTCAAACTTACGGTAAAAGGCTGAGATATGGTATGGGAAACAAAAGGAGCTGACTTACTGAAGGACTATGTGTGCATTGCTGAAAGTGTGAAATTGGCCAGTATTTTATTCAGATGCAGATTTGGTATTCAGTTGATATGGGATAAGGGCTGAGAGTCTACAGTGTTGATGGCTCCCATGGCAATGATGTTGCTGGCCTGTGGACCAGGATGAGCAACAGAGGGCTTTTATCCTCTTCCTCACAGGGGGTGCCCCAGTTGAAGAGATCAACATCAGCAAGATGGTGATGAAGTTTTGGGCCAATTTTGCTAGAAACGGGTGAGACTAGTAACAATGATGGGTTGGGAAATGGTAGATTTTAATGATTAAGTGGTCAAAGACCTGGGCATATGACAATAGTACTTTGACAATGAGAACTCTCTAATGGTAGCCAGGCTGTCCAAGGAGATGGAGCACTTCTCATCTCCAGGGCCATATAGTCCCTTGCAGCAATATACCCAGCAATATACCATCAAATTATACAGAAGTGTGGAAGCCACATAGCAGGTATAAGAAACTTTGATTTTGATTCTAGGAACCCCAATGAGAGGTCATTGCCTGAATGGCCAGAATACAACCAGAAGGAAGGATACTTGAAGATTGGTGCAACTACTCAGGCAGCCCAAGGCCTGAAAGATAAGGAAGTGGCATTTTGGACTAAAGTTTGGACCAAAGAGGCAGAAGGGAATCTCCTCCAAGAAAAAATTGAGCTCTGAATTGGAAGCCCAGCTAGATTTTTAATTTTAATTTTTTTTGTGGGGGAGACAGTGAGGCAAAGTTAGTGTTAGACCATGTGGTGTTTGCAAGTGAAAGGGGATTCTTACTACAGGTGCTTCAGAACTGTGTGATGGGGGCATGGGAAGGTAAGAAAGAAGGATGGGGTATTTATGTCATGGCCTCAAATTGCAGAAAACATTAGCTCTTTTAGAGAACAAGTCAGTGTTTGTGTTATCTCTTTGACTCCAAATGAATGTACACTTACTTGGAGGATAAGGAGATTCACCATCTTAGGAAGGCAACTCCATGGCATGGCTGGAGAAATAGCAAGCCTGAAATGGCAAGGTAGATGGGTGTGAATATTAATTAGCTCACCTTCCATCTTCAGGCAGAAATGTTCTCTTATAAATTGGGAGAATGGCTAGACTCTAGAGTTTACTAAAGTTCTGAAAGTTGCACAGAGTATAAAGTTGCAAGAGCATAAATTCCTGGGAAGCACAGACTCAAGAGGAGTTCACATCAACTGCAGACTCTTCCCCATGGGCGTCTGACAGCTGTGTATGATCAAGACTGGGGGCAGGTAGGATGACCAGATAAAGCTTGTCCCTAGGTTTCAGTTACGAAACACTGCACAGGAGCTGGAGAGATGACCCAGCATTTAGAAGCACTTGCTGCTCTTCCAGAGGACCTGGGTTCAATTTCCAGAACCCACTCAGTGACTCGTAGCCATCAATAATTCAAGTTAGGGGAATCTGATGTCTTCTTCTGACCCCTGTGAAAACCAGGCATCTACACGGTACACAAACATACATGTAGGCCAAACTCTTATACATGTAAAACAAACAAACAAACAAACAAACATTCAAACACTGAAGACCACATAGGAACAAAAATTTACAGCAATTGGAGGAAAAACAGAAGCTGATCTCCTTTTTTTTATAGGTCCTGGTGAAGACCTATAAAGAACAAAAAATAAAAATAAAAAATAAAATAAATAAAAAGGAAGTTGTGGCAATTTACACTCTTACTAGGGGACCAAAAACTGTTATATATCAAGATTACTGTAGATTTTTTCTTTAGTGTTGATATCTCAAGGCTTGGATTATTATGATAAAATACCATGAGTGAAAGCAGAATGGAGAGGAAAGGATCTATTTTATCTTACAGCTCCACATCACAGTCTATCACTGAGGGAAGTCAGGGCAGGAATTCAATGCAGGGTCCTGGAGGTAGGAGCTGATGCAGGGGTCATTGAGGAGTGCTCCTTACTGGCTTGTTCCTCATGGCTTGCTCAGCCTGCTTTCTCATATACCTGAGGACCACCTTCCAGTGGTGACACCACCTGCATGGGATGAGACCTCACACATCAATTACTAGTTAAGAGATGTTCAACAAATCTGTCTACAGGCCAGTCTTATGAAGGCATTTTCTCAGTTAAGATTCCCTCTCCTCAGAGATGTCTAGGTTTGTATCAAGCTGACAAAAACTAACCAGCACAATTAAGAAGACATAGGATCACCGAGAAGGCTCCACCTCCAAGTCTGGGGAACACAGGGTCCCTCTAAAATTGTGACTAGACAAGAACTAGAGAAATCACTTCTGTGTGCTACTCCTGAGTCAGTAGACATGAGCTGTTAACTACTAAAACCTGACTGGATAAGGAAAGTGCGGGAAATGGCTCTCTCTGGAGGAAGTTAAAAACAGCTGCGAACAAAAATAACATCAAAGATAAGGGGTAATAATTTGTACTAGTTGAAAAATTTAAAGTGATACCTAACTGACATTATATTGTTTGAAAAGATAGTGAGATCAAAGCTAGATATGGAAAACCCAGAACAATCAGTAAAGATTTTCTTTCCTTCTACATAAGAAGGAAAACAAATAGTGTCATGACTTGCATGCTACATGCTTAGAAAACCAGAATATTATTGATAATGACAGAGTCTGTTGCCAGCTTGAACCAGCCACAGGCTTCTCTTTGTGCCTGGATGGATGACTGCAGAGAAGTGAGTCCCTAGGCATTCCTGTGTGTAGGGGGTAACACTAAGCTCTCTTCTCAAAGTATTCCAAATTTGTTAAAATGCTTATATCCTCCAGACCTTTAAGCTGATGCTGAGTGGTATCTAGCCAGTGCCTTCAGATACATTAAGGCCTCTTTCTTATTGTCTACATGCAAATTTCTCGGTCTGTTTATTTTAGAGGATTTATTTTTATTTCTGTGCGTATGAGTTTTGATATCTGTGGAGGACAGAAGAGGCCAGCAGATGCCCTGGAGATGGAGTTACAGGCAGTTGTGAATTGCTTGTCATGGGTACTGAAAACTTAGCTGCAGAGCAGCAAGGGCTGTCAACTCCTGAGCCATCTGCCCATCCCCATTTCGCTTCTTTTATGGTCTTGATTTATTCAGCAGGAACATTTCACTGGTCCCAATATCAAACAGGCTTTTCTGACCTTCTAAAAAACAAAACAAACAGAAAAAAACTCTTTGCTCCCAGTTTTCACTGCAAACCTGGCTAAAAACAGCTGGCACTAACAGCATCATGGTCCAAATACTGTAATATATATATATATATATATATATATATATATATATATATATATATATATGTTTTAGTAGTTTCATGACTTATATTAAGGTCTTTTTTTTTCAGTGCAAGTATATTTTACATAGGGTAAGAGATAGAGATCTGATACACAGTTTTTCTGGCATCATTTGTTGAACGTGTTTTCTAGCACATGTTTTGGGAACCTTTTTTAAAATTCAATTGGCTATTTTTTTTAAATCAAGTTGATTATTTTAGGGCACTTTATCGACTACATTTGCCTGTATACCTATTTTTTTTGTATAAATAACATGTTGTATTTTTTACTATGACTCTGTAATGTATATTTGAAAGCAGGGATTGCCTTTTTGCTGAGGATTATTTTGGTTACTCAGTGACTCTTTTGCTTACTATGAATTTTAGTGTATTTTCCCAGTTTTGTGAATAAATGCATTAGTATTCTGATAGGACTGACATTGAAACTGAAGCTCACTTTTTGTATAACGGGGATAGTATTTTGTTTTAATCTATATTATTTGCCAGTTTTATTCCTCTGGCTAAGAAATCCGGAGGTAACTCCAGGTTTACATTTCTTGTTAATAGTTCTTCATTAAGTTTAGTGCCTTTTTTTTTTGCCTCTACAAGCTGGTTACAAATTAATATTAATTAACTCCCACTTATTCAAAAATCTGCAGCTCTTTGTGAGACACACATTCATTAAAAATACACACAAGCAAAAGGCAAAATTAAAACACACTACTAAAAATGAGCACTGTTAAATTTTTGAGATATGTATAATAATACATGTACACACATAATTAGGAATTTTTCTATATATGCGAGCTGAAACTAAATATACCGCTTTATAATTTACTGCTTAATTGTGTAATATGGAATGAATATCATCTCCATACATAAGTATGAAATGTTCCAACTGAAAAATGAGTGTGGAAAATGGGTCAAAATCCAAACTCCAGTGAAATGCTGGTAACAACAAAATTACCTAAAAGAAAGTACTGCCAGCTGATGGGTAGAGTGAATGGAATTTTATGTGAGAAGTGGGAAATAGTCAGAGCTGGAGAGGACAGGAACTCCACAAGGAGAGCAACAGAACAAGAAAATTTGAACACAGGGAACTTCCCAGAGACTCATACTCCAACCAAGGACTATTCATGGAGATAACCTAGAACCCTGACAATGCAGCCACTTCTGATGAGAACTGATAGACTAAGATCAGAAAGAAGGAGAGGAGGACCTCCCCTATCAGTGGACTTGGGGAGGGACATGCATGCAGAAAGGAGGGGGAGGGTGGGACCGGGAGGGGAGGAGGGAGGAGCTTATGGGGGGATACAAAATGAATAAAGTGTAATTAATAAAAGTTAATTTAAAAAAAAGAAAAAAAGACAGAAACAAAAAAAAAAGTGAAATGAAGTTCAAAGATACATCAGAAAATGCTGAGAGAAAGAAAGTGGCAGCCAGATTTCAATATCAGAGAAAGAAGATGTCAAGGGCTGGAGCACACAGGGTAAGAACGGCTTCGGGGATGCCTTTGCTTCCAACGCATCACCACAAACTTGTTTCTTACTGTTTTTCATCTCTCCCCTAAGTCCTTCCAGCTCATGTACTCCTCTTATCACTTCAGGGTTCGGTTGCCTTGAGGGAGTATCCTCTTTAGGTTCTGGGCTGGGCTGAGCAGGCTCTCCTCTCAGGCTTCCATCAGCTCCCCTTGTGCCCTTTCTCCAGAAGCCTGCTTCTGCTTGCTGTGGGGGATCCTCCGAAGGATGGCCTTCTTCTGTCTTTGTTGTGTTTTGGACTGTTCCTTCGTTCTCATCACAAGTCTTTTGCATGCTGAGCATTTCTTTCTCTCTCTCTTTTTAAAAATAAGCTAATCCTGTAGGTATCTGGAAATTTTCCTCTCTTCTTGCACCTCAATTTTATGTTTCACTCAAGAGATTAAGAATCCTGAAAGGAGCCAGGCCACTATTCTTTTTTTTTTTTTTTTTCCAATTTTTAGAAAAATTTTACTCTCACCAGAACAAATCCTGATGTATGGCTCCCTGTGTCTTTGACTGCTTTGATTGGCTTCTAATTACTTATGTTCCTACATTAGTATTTTCCATCAAAACTTAATAAACTGATAAAATTTCATGGATTCTTTTATGACTACTCTTTTTCTGAATACAGATAGCTGGATTTTAAAGGGACAGAGTCAGACTCTAGAACACAAATCTTGGAGAGTTTAGGTAACCCTCCAGCTATTACCGCTAGTTGACAGAAGCTCAGGCACTGAACACCATTCTTGCTGCATGTGTCTTGTTTTGCATGTACTGTTTATGGTGACTACAAGGTTTTAGCACACTAACTGACCACCAAGTTCATAAAACAGCAGTTTGAGTCCCATATCCTGCTCCCACAATTACACCTTCAAATAAAACCTATAACATTTTACTGTCATT